GCGATAAAGACGCATCACATGGAGGACAGATTTTTTCGCGAGAAAAATGCATCGAACTGAGGCACTGAATTTTCTGTGTGTAATAGCATCATGCGCATTATGTTCATCGCGTTTCTCTATCGAGGCTTCTCAGATGGTTGGCGGCAAGCTCTTTCTACAATTTTATATATATAGTCTCTTCTCTGTTTTTCGCTAAGTTCCCACTTTTCCGTGATTCTTTCGCGATTATCTTTTTTTCTTCATGATCTTGTCCGCGAAACCCCTCTAGCCTGCAAGGGCTAAAGGGCGGCATTTCATTTTCGAAACGAAGAGAGAATGTTCCTGTCTCACATTGTTCCAGTCTTCTTTTCTCGACCTTTTTTTCCCATGTACTTGTGATAAACTCGGGGGGTAGTGCGGCGTTATCGCGCTCTTTGGATGAAAGGAGTCAACGATTTTCCTTTCATCGGGAATATCCAGTGAGCTCACTGAACTCCCACCATAGAGCAAAGTTCGGTAATTTCAGGTCTGCTTACGTAAGCCATCTAGGCGTCGTCCCATCGATCCCCAAAGGATTTTCCATCCCTAAAGGAACGAGAAAACGATGCATCCTCGGTTTCCCAATTCGGATCTAATCTCCCTGGGAACGGCCATCATCGCTCAGAGATATGCGAGTGCTTCCCTTTCACTCTTTGTTTCTTACGGTCTCTTCTGGCCTCGTGGCTTCGGCAATGAATGCGAAGGATGCGAACGTGACGAAGGGATGAATCGTCTCTTCATTAAATTCTTTTCTAACCTCAAAAATTTATTCTATCTTCTGTTTTGGCCACTTTCCATACTAATTCCAGACGTTGAAACGTCCCAAGCGGCTTCGTTTCTGAATATACATTTCCGTCCGTCGAATCCCTTTCGATCTGGTTGAAAGTACGGTCGTGCCAAATCAAACACAGATTTAGCGAAAACCGGTCATATCGAGAGCCTTGACGTTGCCCAGTTGAATGTGAATAGACACCCATGCGGAAAAATTCGGTTATAAGAAATCGGATATAAAGAAATCTCAAACCCGAAAATGAAAGTTTTTTCTCTCATGCAGAAAGGAAAATAAAGTTTTTCTCCCTCTTGAGGGAAGTGCAGAAGGATCAGTCCTAATCTCATTCCGGCCCTTCACCTCGGTTTTCCGCCGCACGGCCTATGAGAAGCAAGGATTTTGCGCGTGCAGAATGTGCGAGATGGGAGGAATGTGCCTGGGATGGGGGGACGTGAACGCGGGAGTGAATGCTCTTAACCGCGATACCGCGTGACACACCAGCGGATATGTGCAAGCTAACGTGTTAAAGGAATGTTATTCATGAAACCCTGAAAAGTCGTCGGGACCCCATGGTACACCAACGGTATAATCATGTTTCCACAGGCATAGAGGGATTTAGTTGTCTAATTGACGATATTTAACTCTCTCCTGATAAACGAAAACGAAAACTATTCAAGCCCCTTCAACAACATCGTTATGTAGAAATGTGAAAACGAATTTCAATGGTTCACCTTTCTTCAACCTCAACCCAACCCAACCTCACCCTCACCCTCACATCCCAATACCCCCCCCCATCCTTCTCTACGGAACTCACTAACGTTAGGCCTAGGCCTAACCGACGGACTGTCTTCGGGTCAGGTCTAGGCCTACCTTACCTTCATTTCGTTCAAAAGAAACTGAATCCTCAGCCTACGGACCAATTAGGCTGATGAGGATGAATCCCTCGTCTTCGAGACACCTCGTTGAGTGCGCGTCACGTTAGACCGATCGCAGGCCTTTTCAGTCTCTCATGGCCCACTCAACAGAGTACGTGTAACGTTAGATCGAATGTAGGTCTTTTTCGAGTTTCACAAGCCATTTCAGTGCGGCCGGGGTACATTAGGCCTATCCAGAGTTCCTCGAACCGTCTCACTCGTTCTGAGAAGAAAATGCCGTTAGGTCGCATGACAAACGAGCTGGCCGCCATCATCTTAATTTAAGGATGCCCGATGAGATATATCTCCGTATTCCACCGAATCGATCGGCCACTGCAAAACACCGCTTCATTCTCGGCTCACCATGAATTCAGCACAGCAATGTTTCCTAAATTAAAGAGAGAAGATCCAGACAACGTTACTAAGGCTGAAGAAGCCATGAATCGGATATAACGCCGGCATGATATCCGGCAACACTGCAGGACGGGACCGGAGCCATTGCGCTAAGCCTAAATTAACTGCATCTAATTTCATTTTTTATGGCGAAATGGTACACTGAAAGCAAAAAAGGGGACTTTTTGTCACCTCCAGGTCAAAATCTTTGATTTGGTTGTTCAATTTCTCGAAAACTGCCCAGGAGAGGCTACCCAGGTGGGGGGGAAATAAATTAAAAATACCAGAACGAAATTCACATCTTCCAAAAGCGAGATTCAGTGTTCTCCGCAACCCCGGGGAGATAGAGCTTCAAATTTTGCTGGAGCGATTCTGTGTTGAGAGAGGAAGAAGCACGCTAAATTTCATTCCTGTTGTTGAGAGGAATATGAGATGGTTGCATTTTGTCGCCGGAAGGGGTTGAAGAAAAGTAATGGGCGTTACCAAAGCCCATTGATGACGAGAGTACTTGCGGTACTAGAGTCCCACAAGCCCTCTAGTGCCCTTAGTGCTCTTGGCCTATTGCCCCCTGGCCCCCTCGCCCTTCTCACTCCACGAGAGCCCTACCGCATCCACACGAACCTGACAGGTTTTCTCCTCCTCCTTCTCCTCCATCCACAGCCGTATACAACCCTTTAAGCCAAGAAGCACGGCCAAGCCGGCAGAGGCTTATCTTCTACAATACAGTCATCCCTAGAAGTTACGTCGTAATTGGTTCCGAGACCGGCAACGTTAGTCCAGACAGTACGGTGTTGCCGACTACTCGCAGTCGAGATACCGATTCTTGGACGACGTAAGGGCAACGTAATACAACTTAGGCACGAATTGTGCGCTCGGCTGTGGGGGCAAACGGCGCGAGTCGAGACGACGCAAGTCGCGGGAGACTTCCTTCTCAGGAACGACCTCCCTCTTTCGACGCTCTCTTGTCATCCACGACGGCGGTTGAGGGGAATCCATTCCGAGGAATCTTCAACGTTCGTTGTTCCGGCCGAGAGGAGCGTCAATGCTTGGAATCGACAGGAATGTTCAAGACTTTCTGGTCTTTTTGGAATGTTCGCCCGATGGCATTCGTCGCGTTTTGGGGGGAAGCAAAAGGTAAATGCTGCGAAATAGTTTGAAATGAATATTTATTATGATTAACTTCGCACATACATTCGGTAGAAACATATCTCTGATACCCTTTCAGGCATCGCACTACCTTCATTATCGACACCGACATTACACCAACATCGACATTATCGCACCGACAGATTCACCATAACGTATTATTTATTGTCTTTTTTCGTTTTCCTTCTCATTCCGGCTCTTCTTCGAGCATGTTCTTTTCTGACTCGTCTCCTTCGTCGGTCGAACGACCCACAACCCAATTGAGGGGCATGCGAATGCTGGCAGGGTCGGGAAGGACGGCCGCGTTCCGCCACCTCGTGTTTCCGACCAGCTGCGAGATGACGCCACCGGCGGCGCCCACCGCTGCACCGGCCCCCACGGCGACGCCGGGGCCGAGAGCCGCGCTCGCCACGGTGGTGCCGACTGCCGCCACGAGCCCGACGACATCTGCGTCCTGCTTTCGATTGGTGCGCTCTTCAGCCATCTTCGTCTCCAACGCGCGGTGCCAGGCATCCAGAGTCTGCAGGGAGGTTCGGATGAAAGGAGGACTCGTCTGGGTGGAATGCTGGACTGGGATGTACGAAGGAAAGCAAGGCACTCACGGTCTCGAGGATGTCTCGGTACTCTTCGACTAGCCAGGCGGGGGCCCAGTCTCCGTGGGGGTCTTCCACGAAGGAGCGCACGACTGCGTCCCTGTGCTCCGAGTGGTTTTCCTTCAGTTCTTCCTCGTCCACCACGATTTCTCCGTAGAATTTCTTCATCCGCGTCTCGCCGAGGTAGTCCTCCGCGTTTTCCTTCACGGATTTCTCCAGCAAACTCCTCACTCGTCTTTCTTTCGATCGTCGTTTCTTCTCGAGCTCGTACTTCGCCTTCCTCAAGCACTGTGGGTAAATATTGGGGCCATGGGGTACGACAGTGCCTCACGAGGATGACAGTCGCGCCGGAGCCACATAATTCCAGTGGAATGTCGGCCTAACATTCTCACTCATTATTCGCGTTCAATTTAATGGCGTGAGTTCTTGAGTACGCGCACTCTTCGTAAAGTGTCAAAATTTCATCTGTGATCTAGAACTTTCGAAACGCCAAAGATTTCGACGAGTAAAATGCCAATGGGTCTTGTAGGGCCTCATTTGGTCGTTGGAAATTCGGATCCTGTGCTTTTTGCAGTGCTGAAGCATTTACTGTTGAGGTAGTAACTCGTCACTATCCGTGAATTTCGTCAAATTTCCGATGAGGGAAGAATCAAAGGTACTGGAAAGTACCAACATTTGAAAAATATTGGTACTTTCCTGCCGCGTTTTGGCTATTTAAGAAAAAATCTACTCAGCGGATGAAATCATTTCCAAAGAAAAATCCGTTTCAGATTTCAATTTATCTTCACATCGCTTAGCACCAATTCGGACATAAGACCATAAGTAAATAGACTATGAAAAAAAATTATTTAAGAATTTTGCCATTTAAGTAAATGGCTTCATGATCCAAAAAAGAATTGGGTTCGTCCTTATCGGATGACATTCCTTCTTGAACTCTCCAGATCCAGAACACACGAGACCGGAAGGAGGAAATGCCAATATATGTGAGACTCCAGGACAAAGAAAGCCCATAATATTTTTCTTAATTTATTTTGATAAATTTCAAATAGGAAGATCCAAGGAGAGAATTTCTTCGAGTTCCAATGCTGACAGAGCCATAGACAAACGGAAATGTGAGAGCGTAAAGAAAACCGTCTGGGTTGCTCATCCCTAAATACAGTGTGATTTCTCCGAACGAGGTGTTGCCATTCATATGGAGAATTCACGGCGAATTCACTTCATGATCGTGAAAGGAAGAAATAAATTTAAGGCAGGGAGGGCATGGCGCAGTTTGCGGTTTCGATGTCTGTAAACGTCGTGGGGGACTCTTATGCCCGTTCTTGCCGCGTTTTCCGGGGCAGGCATGCCACGCGATTCTTATTTAATTTCATGCGGATGGCCTTAAATTTCTCTCCGGGAACGATTCAGAGTTTCGAGAAAGTGAGGATGAAGGAAATGAGAATTACCTCCTCCAATTCCTCCTTGTACTTCTCGGCGAGATGCATCCACTGACCCCCAGTCGTCCAAAATATGTCCAGGGCTTCTTTACGGTACTTCTCGTGGCCATCGAGCAACTCCTCGTCGGTGAGGAGGTGACCGTCGGTGGCTCCGGACCGCCCACCCTGTCGCCCTCCGTCGGCGGTGTCCTTGCCGTCGCAGAGGCAGGACATCTCGAGCTCGTAGTGCGTCACGCTTCTCTTCACCGCGTCGTTGAGGGCAGCCTCGGCTTGGAGCTCTTGGGAGTTTCTGAAGGCTTCGTATCGCTCGTATTCGTTTGACATGCGCTGTGGGAGGGGGGAACACCTTCAAAATGAACGATGAAATTTAACGCAAAATTAAAGCTCGACATAATTAAAATAGCTGACCCCTTCCAAGTCGTCCATGTGTTTCTTCGCAAGATGCGGGTATTTCTTGCCTGTCTCTTGGAAGGACTCGATCGTCTGTTGACGATAGTTCGCATGCATGCTGTTTAGTTTCTCTTCGCTCATCAAATCTACCAACAATTTGCTCATCATTTCGTTGTATTTTTCCATGGCCTCCTCCATGGCATTCATGAGTTCCGTTTCTGCTTGTCTTTCTTGTGATTCCCTCAGTTCAGCATACTTTCTATATTGCTCATCCAAGCGCTGGCAAGTAAAGGAAATGAAAAAGAAGAAATTCATGCAATATTTTGAGGAGCTCAGAACACAACGAGCAAAAAATGAAGATCACTTTCATCAAGTTGTCCCGGTGGTCATCGACGAGATACGGACAGAGCGTATTTCGAGTCCTATGCATGAACGCGTCGAGCGCCTCTTCGTAGTGCTTCTTGTGCTCGCTCTCCAGCTCCTCCGCGGAGATGACGGCCCCGCCGCAGGAATTCCCCATTTGGGAGCAGTAGATCCAGACCGTGGACTGGACGGTGTTGATCAGCTCCCGGTCGGCGCTGCTCTCCTTCCATTGCCGCTCGGTGAAGTGGAGGGCGGATTGGGACTCGATGTCCTGGTGGGGTGAGGGGGGGTGAGGGGGGGTGAGGAGGGGACTCGTGGCAGGGTGAAGCTTAGATATTGTTTTACCACTCTTTAACAAATGTACCGTAATAAGTAATCGCGAAAGGTAGCGAGTGGTATCTGAAGGAGCTATCAGATCAACAAAAACGTTGAAATTTCAGATTTAAAAAATTACGAACCTTTTCCAGTTTCTGCTTATATCGACTGAAGAGGTTTTCATCTGCGATTTCCTCCTTCACCATGAAATTTTGAATCGCTCTGGTCTTCTTCTCCTCGTGTTCGTCCCGCAGCTCTTTCGCGGTCAGCAGCGGGATGTGCCTGAGGACCTCGGCCATGTCTTCGCCGTACTCTTTGAGGACGCGGGTCGCCGCTTCCATCAGTTCCGACTTCGTCCGCTCTTCCCTCCCGTCGCGCTGTATCTCGTACCGCTCGTGTAGCTCGTGCAGGTTCTGATGGAATCAATGGTATTTTCATGACGATACCTAAATCGACCGTATTGTGATGCTGGGTGGAGAGGCGGTTGTGCTTTTTCATTCCCAAGGGTTTTGGGCTGTTTCATTTCTTAAATGATTCTTTAAAATATTTCAATGGGGTGAAATTAATTATAGATGCTACTGTTTAAATTACTTATTCCATTGCAGAGCTTCAGATTCGAGTCGAATTTCCCTTTAATTGTCTGATAAGCCGGACAAAAGAAACTTTAATAGAGTTAATGAGGAAGTATCGGTTGGAGGCAAGGCAATTTTGCAATGTTGTGCCCTAGCTAAGCATGCCGATTTAATTAGTCTTTTTTTTCATGTCACATGGGAGACGGCAATGCGATTCTCCCGCTGAAATCTATGGACTGACCTTATCCAAAAGCAATAGGTATTTTCCCGATATTTCTTTTCCGCCCATCTTCTTGGAACTCGTGAACTTCTCGATTGCTTCCATTCGGAGTAAAGCGTGAATTTGATTCAGTCTTCTTTGAGTCGGCACGGGAGTTTCCGCCAGGAGTCGGTCCATTTTTTGGATGTAGAGGTCGACTGCTTCGTCGCGGGCGTTCCGGTGCTGGACCTCGGCGGTGGCCTGGAGAGAGGTTTTTCCGGGAACGGGGCGGGTTTTTGACGTTTGTCGGACGGGGATCGTGGGGGAAATACCTCGAAGATGCTCTTGGGCTCGGGGATCTCCGCTCGGTTGTTGTAAACTCCGATGTAGCATTTGAAGTATTCGAAGAGTTGCTTGCATGTGATGGGCCTGCCGGCGATCGTCTTGAGGACCAGATTCTCTGGGGAGAGCAGCTGTGGCACCAATTGGCGGAGCTGATCCTTGAAGTCTTTCTGGACATCTGAAATCGCAACCATGATGTTTCAAGTTCAGTTAGCACGTCCGTATCCCGCCGAGTTGAGGGCGACTCACCAGAAAGAGACCCGCTGAATTGAGGATCTCCAGCCACTTTTTCCCCGGGATATGGCATCAGAAAGCAATCGAGTTTCGTGAAACAAAACTTGATGTCTTCCTTCACTTTCTTCACTTCCTCTCGCTGTCTGTCGGAGGTCTGACGTCGAGAAATGCCACATATCATGAGAAATCCCTAAATAAAAATATTTATAAATTAAAATGGTAGGAACGAATAAGAACCTGGAGTTTCTCGTCGAGGAACACCTGCCCTCCTTCGCTCCCATACGGAAACTCGTGATGGTTCCTCCAATCCCTCACGAGGAAGAGGAAGTTCTGGAAGGGTTTGTCGTCGCTCGCTTCGAGGCATAGGCGGCCGTACCCAGTGAAGAACTGGAAACGAAATTGTTCGTTTTCAGGGCCTGCATCCTGCGTATCATGTGTATCGCGTTTCTCTTTCGAGGCATTCCGGTTGCCTGGCAGTGAGAGTTCTTTCTGTTAGAGTGGTTTCTCCGGGGTTCGCGACAAGAAGGTCCCGATCGGCAAAATCTCGGAAGGCCTATAGCCTGAATATACTATATGCGTATCATGGACAATTTACTTCATGGTTTGCACTCGCCCGAATCAACGAAATCTGTTGGGCAAAGTTCGACTCGCCTGGAGGATTTATGAACTCCTTCATATATCAAAGTATTTCCCTTTCCTATGGAAATCTTCACCAACGAATGCGAATGTTACACATAAGTAAATGTGCACATTTTATGTCTTTTATCGGGCTCCATCATCGAAATCCTCTCCAAGAGCGCGACTGTCAACGTTCTCCGTGATCGCTTTCATTTCCACATGCTATTTCCACAAACTATGTACGCCGTAGGGTGTGCGAAAATGCATGGAAATGTGAAATTAAATGCACCCTCAACCTGATATACTTTTTTTTCTCATCGTTTCGAGAATATGATAATTCACTAATGATAATAAAATGAATTAAAATAATAAAATGAAAATGCCCATTCTAAAAATTTCCCGAACTACGAGAGAATACATCACCAAAAAGGAACTGACACTCTGGACTTAAGCATAGCTAGCGACTAAATCAGCCATGCACTAGCATACTCCCCCGTCAGTATAAGAAACTTTGATGTTGACGGTCATCGCTAAGCATGAAGGCATGAGTCCTGGCTGACTCGGCCAGTTAAAGTTTTTTTTTGGAAAAAGTATCTGTACCGCAGAAGCCTTATTCTTGTTTCATAAGACTTTCCTAGTGACAGAGACATGAACCATCTCCACATCAATGGAGGGATACGGTTGATGTAAATCATTAGGAAAACGTATGGCAAAGTGCTGCTGCCTGCAGTCGTCAACTGTTTTTGAAAACGACATGATTAAATGTATTCCTTGAGAATACTTATTGGCGCATTATTTTATTCCACATGTCCCGAGCGTTCGAAAAATCCTATGGCTTCGGAGGCACTTCACTTCGCAGGCGCTTGAAACTACCTGGAGGTGAAGGAGGTCGTCCATTTGGATATTGTCCTTGAGGTTGTAGATCTGGACGGAGCTGAGGAGGGTGCTGAGGGCGAAGACGGTGACGCTGTGGGCGAGGGACTCCTCGCAGTCGAAGGTCCCTTCCGTATCCATCAGGAGGATGCATGCCTGCAATCGGGGATTCAACGTCGGGATTGTCAACAAATCAAACAACGAAGTCAGCCCACGTAATGATGGCAGCTGATGAAGATACAGGTCGTACTATTTTCAAGTATCAGGCATCTTTTGAAAGCTCTGTTTAATTGCATGCGACAGTTGCAAAATATCAATAGTTTTCTATACTTGTTGGGAAAATCAAAATTTATGCCCAGTTCATCACGCCCCGGTGAAGAAAATTCTAGCGATGAAACTTTGTGCAATACGTGTGCTTGGATTTCTTCCCCTGCAATCTAATTAAGTAAATGTCATGCGTAGTTGAAATAAGACCAGAAGTTAAACAGGTAATAAGTGACTACTCTTCACTACTGGACGAAATATTCTATTAAATCCCCATTTTGTCCTTCTCTGCTTGCAGCCACCGCTGCGAGAGCTGGAGAGGCGTTAGTAACTGGGATTTCCTTTTGATTTGCTACACGTGATGTAAAAATACTTGTGCCATTCAATAGGGATTGAACGCATCTTTCAGATCGATGCTTGAAACTTAAAAATCCTAAGACCTGAAATTTCACCAGCCGTCTCCAAAATTCGGAGTGGCGTTTCTTCGGGCCCACTTCAAATATCAAGTGAATGCAGCATACCTAGTCCTGCCATGAATACTCTTACAAGGTTTTCTTGTAATAACTCTGTTAATATAAAACATACGCTATATTTGCTAACAGCATTTGTTTCCCTACATAATTACTAATAGATTACAGAAACTTTATTCAAATGTCCACCCCTGGCCTTCACACAAGGCTTTAAACGATCGAGCGACTCATCGATCGCAGTACGCACCACCCCCATTGAGATATTGCCTGCTGATTTCGGAAGGGCTCGCTTGAGACTTGCAATATTTAGATGTCTTCTGTGGCGGGCCATCAGCTCCAACTCTGCCCAGTTTGTTGTCAGTGGGTTCCCACGTGGCCTATCGGGGGCCTCGATGAACTTGGGGACGTTGTTGGTTAGCCACTCCTGCGTTGTCTTAATTTTGTGAGCAGGTGCGGAGTCTTGCTGGAAGATCCGGGTGCCCCCATTGAACATTGGCTGAGAGGCTTCACTGTCTTCTCTAAGACGTCTTCCTGGTACACTTTGGCCGATGTCTTCACTCCTTGCTCGCAAAAATGCATCCTGGTGACACCCTCATAGCTCACCTTCCACCAAACCATGACGAAAGCAGGATGGTGACCTCTCTCCACCTTATGAATGAATTCGGCAGCTTCCCGAGAGTTGTGGGCATACACCTAATCATTTGGCCGGTTGAATTTTTCTTCAATTGTGAAGATGTTCTCATCAGTAAAGAAGATTTTGTAGTGTCTGTTTTGCGAGTACCTCTGCAGCAACACTTTCAATCGCGACCTCCTGATTTCTTTTAGAGATGGAGTCAGCATGTGTCCTTTGCTTCTTTGGTAAGCACCCATCCTTAGGTCTGATTTAATCAACCGAGACGTGCTTCTAGTCGAGATGGCCCTGGTCATCGCTTTCTGCTTGCGGAGAGGAGTTCCCCGAATCGGGATGCAAACTCCTTTGATGACTCGTGGTGTTCTGGCGGTGCGTGGACATTCAGATCTACGGCGGTCTCGTACTCCCTGAGTATCATTGTAACGTTTGATAGCTCGGTAAACAAACTACCGACTGATTCCAAGTGGCTGCAAAGTCTTGAAAATGGTTGAAGGTTTCAGACCCACTTTGTGCAGGGCAATCACTGCTATGCGATTCTCTTTGTCACCCCACTCCATGTTTACTGCACGCAACACGACAGCCAAAATGTTATCAAACAATACGGCGGATAATACACTGCACGATTACTAGGTTACAACATTCTAGCTTCTTTCGATATAATGCAAGAAACATGTAAATCTTGAAACAGTATTAATGGCAGAACTAGGTATTTACTAGTATTTACTTTGTGCTCCATCTGAACACCTTGGACGTTTTTGTATACGTGTATTCGGACTTTAAGTTGGTTTACAATTACCATTCCTCATTACACTCGTGATTGTATCCCTACTCCCTTTCGATGAAATCTTGAGTGATAAGGGGAGGAAGTTGCTGGGTGCCCTGCCATGTATCTAGTGTTCTGTGAATTGGGCAGATGACTCATGACCGTATCACGTTTTACTCCGTGGCCATGTCGCCGCAGATCACGGTGCAATCACGAGACGCATGACGAGTGAGATTGGCCTTGCGCAAATGCCCCTGACTGCAAACGTACATGCGACAGCTTTAAACCAACTAAAGGAAATGCACAAGCATGCGGGCGTTATACAGGATGAGCATGAAGTATGGAATCATATAGTTTTTTTGTTTCAGATGAACCCTCCCCTTAACTTTGTGAATACTGATAACAATGTCAAAGATAGAAAGAGAGAGATTATTTTGTTGTGTTGTCGAGATTGGAAACATGTATTCAAGTTGAAGGACATCATTTCGAAAATATAATCTGATTATCCGATGAATCCAGCCTATATGCTCACCCCATTCAAAGGGATCATGTCATTTGGAAGTGAAAGGTAAGGGTGTGACCGCCCAGAAAAGTTTCCATTAAATTTACGATTAGCTTTCGTGTGTCAGACATCGAGGCATTCGGATCTAAGGGGAATATCATAGAACTCACCTCTTCCCCGTTTGGGAGCCTCAATGTGAAAATTTCATCCCAGATATGAATCCCCGTCGTTACCCTCTTGGAACTCATTTTCCATGCGAACCCTGCAATCGGAGTGTCTTCGTCATCTAACCAATCTTCAGACCCCTGAAACGAAGGAAAGTCGAGATAGGGAGGCAGTGGGACAACCGAAGTGGAGGGATAGCAGGGCAATAACGGGACTGCAGAACTCACTTGAGCCCTGAGGTATCTTAGGAAGAGACTCAAAAGGAAGGACTTTCCCCTCCTCGCCCCCCCGGCGATGGACACCACTGCGACCGGCTTGTCCTTGCAGTGCTCCTGCATCAACAGCCGCCGGAGTCGATCCTCCTTCAGCAGGTACGAGTCCCTCCCCTCGTTTTCATTGTGTTCTACGACGCAGATGGCGCTTCCACGAGCTGCGTCCTCGTCCATATCTGCGTGGGGATCCAGAGAGTCCTATAGTAAGAACGAATCAGACTCAGAATCTTGGTTACATGCTTTTTCGTCATATGGCCCTGTCTTGGCTTTCAAGGGAGTCCGTTGTTTCAATAGAGTGGAGAGCCGAGTTTTTGTTGACATTCCCGCGATCGGTAAAATTGCATTATCTATTCCACTCGACGGGGACTCCTTTCCCTACTGATATCGCAAGTTTCGTCTCCAAGACGTGATTTTTGTCAGTATTGTTGGCATACAATATTTAATATTTAGTCGCTGAATGTTATGTACATGTAACGTGGTAGGTATTCCTTGTTGGAATAATTTAAATGACAATTTTTAAATACTTGGCTTCACCCTGGCATTCTTAGTGCAAACTGAGCAGGCTCGCTGAATGACATAGTGTGGAACCTGGTTTATCCATAATTATAAGACTTTCTTTACATGTTAAGCACTGTTATTAAAGTACTTCTTCCCTTCCTAAATTTTCAGCCGTTTCTTGACACATTTGTTGATTGGCATGCAGACGTATTCAGTTCACTTGAAGCATTTGATGGGAAGAAATTTCAATGGATTTTCGTTACTTCCGCCGAAATGTTAGGAAAACTCCGGCTTACTTGTCCTGTGATGAGAGAGGGTAAGGTAAATTTATTGAAGAAATTTACCTTACCTTCCTAAATTTATTGAAGAAATTTACCTTACCCTCCTAAATTTATTGAAGAAATTTACCTATCCTGTTTCATACCCTCTAAGGTAAAAAAAAATTTAAACACACGAAATTTCACTTGTTTTCGGATTAGTTTTTCTTATTGGTTTTTGATGGGTATCGCTTTCAGTGCGAAGAAATCACTTTCGCAGCTAGAAACGACGCGAAAAACGACACGACAAGAACGGAAACCACTTTGATGCGATGCACATGGAAAGGAGGAGGAGAAGAAAGAATGCTGGTTATCTGGTCGACTCCTATCTAGCTTCATTCCAGCGTCCTCTTATCGGGCTTGTTCTTTCTATGCAGCGCTGGTCCTTGAGAATCGACTGTGGCCTTTCCGCTGGTATTGAGGTCCGCTGGCCGGAGGCGAGCCTGAGTCGACGGAAGGAGCGGAAATTTAGTCTAGGCCAAATTTGTCTGCCCGTCAGCGAATCAGTCCAATCGGATCGCGGGGGACCGGCTGGAGGGAAAGGGATAAATGTGGACCAGAAGAAATTAATAATGGAAGTACGGAGGCATCCGCTTTTTTTTGCGACATGAGTACTTGGACTGGGTAATGAAGGGGAACCAATAGGAAAATATCGGGAAAGTTTGGACGTACAGGTGAGTTCAGGCAGTTCTTCGCAGGATGTAACTCAAGTTTTCTGTGCCACAACTATGGACTTAACTTCATTTAAAATGGCTGCCTTTGCGAATAAAAGGTTTTATATTCATTTTGCTTGCATTGTTTAAAGAGGCCAACTTTCCATTTCATATCCTTCCGGTACGATAATCTTGCAGCCCGAGAAGCTAGAAACGCGATCGCTCGTTATGCATCGCCTTCCCTTAACATGACCTGCACGCCTCGTGAACTCCAAGAACGCGCCTTGCTTCACCCGGTAGCTACACTCGTAGAAAATTCCGAACGTTTGGAGAGTAAAAAGTGAGCACACCGTGAGCTTTTCGAATTTACTCTCTTTTTACTCACCAAATGCTCCCTCATCGCTCGTATTAAAGTGGACACCTTGAAGTTCTTCGCCAGGCCACTAGATGGAGTTTTCTGAGGGGAGCGTTTTTACTCCTTGGTGATGGAGTAAATTCGCTCCTTTCCCCGAGTGAAAGGGGGGTGAAACTGGAGTTAGCTATTTTATTCTCTTTTTTGAGAAAAATCGCTCCCCTTTTTCTAAGAGTGTAATGACTCGGGAGCATTGGATTGATTCCTTCAAAATCATCTGTCTCCGTAGCTCAAGGAGAGAAGTGACAACCGAATGGAGGTCCGTATAGGCACAGGAGAAGAGGCAGATGAGAACCCCATAATGAATAGATACTGGGTTTTACTGCATGTGGAAAGTGAATGCCAGATAAGGAGACAATCGAAGAAGGAAGTACTCACTGGAGTTCTTCCAGCCAGGCGAGAGACTCGTGGCAAGGTCACCGGTAGCGTGTAAAAATATAGCTCACCGTCACGTATAGGGATTAATGTCCTTAATGCATGACGGGGATTGCTTTGAGTTGTGGGTTTGGCACGGCAAACTCAGCAAGTAAACTCCGAAGTGACTAGTGAAAAGTTTTTACTATCTAACGATCCCGATCGGCCGATTAACTTCGAATCGCACACACAACACACTTCGCAAGGAAAGGAGCAGAGAACGCTTTTGTAGTGTTCTCTGCTCTTTAAATAAAAAACCTATTAGGGATTGTTTATTAACCTTATTATTATTCTAGAGATAAAAACCTATTGTTAGGTATCACGGGGTGGGGTGTCTCAAATCTGAAACTACTTAACAGATTGTCGTAATGATGTCCCCGTTTCCTCCACTCACTGCTCAGCCTACCCAGCACTTTACCCGCTGCCATCCATCACCATACTCCGTCTCTCTTCCTTCTCCTCCTTTGTTGTCGGTTCTGGGCTTTGGAATGTTTTGCATCCGGAAAGAAAATGGGATGCGCGTGCATCCCATCCTGTATAGAGTCCACCGAAGGGATTTTGATCCCATGGGAGGATTCCAAGGTCCTGGGTCCTGTTACAGGGGTGAGGCGTCGACATGGGCCTGTTCCAATAACAGGGCTGCTCCTTACATCACATCACTCGAAGCCTCCTTCCTATAAGCATAGGAAAATTCTGGGCACGTCTGCATTTCATGTTGACTCAGTGTGGACTTCTATCGATGGGCCAAGGTGGGATTCAAATATCAATATTCTCCAAGTCTTCAAGTCTCTGGGTCATCAAAGCAACAGGACCCAGGACCCTCGAATCTTCCCACGGAATCAGGATCCGTTCAGTGGACCCTATGTAGGATGAGATGCACGCTCATCCCTCCTTCCTGCGAGATGCAAAACATTCCCAAGCCCAGAATCGACAACAAAGGAGGAGAAGGAAGAGAGACGGAGAAGGGTGACGGATGGCAGCGGGTAAAGAGCTAGGTGGGCTGAGCAGTGAGTGGAGGAAACGGGGACATTTTTAAGGACAATCTGTTAAGTAGGTTCGGATTTGAGGCAACTCACCCCGTGGTATAGGGATCTAACAATAGGTTTTTATCCCTTTTGTAGTGTTCTCTGCTCTGTTCCTTGTGAAGTGTGTTGTGTGCGTGATTCGTAGTTAATCGGCCTATCGGGATCGTTTGATAGTAAAAACTTTTCACCAGTCACTTCGGAATTCTCGGGGCTGTCGCAGGTTCCGGAAGTTGTGGATAAAATCTTGGAAGCAAAATCCCTCGTTCCGGCTTGGGATGATGGGGTCGCTCCCACCGTCGCTAAACTGAAGATTACGGGACCAGCAAGAGAGTTCATTGCAGCAAATGAGCAGACTATTCCTTCCACAACGCTGGAGGAACTGAGTAAGGCGCAAATTAAACAATTTTCTGTCCCTTCCACACTGCTGGTGGGGCTGACTCGTACGAGTCCATTGCCCACTGAAAGCGTTAGCAGTTGGGAAGCCAGCATCGAGAGAATCGGGGCCAAACTCCTGAGAGTCGGGGGTAAAATGGATATTGTCTTCATGCAAATCTACTGAAAGTCAATTTTGAGCAGGGTCTCAGAAACCCGGATATCCGACATTTTATTCGTTGGAAACATTGTCTTACTTTCGATAATGCAATAGAGATAGCTGCGCAGGCGGAGGTCAGAGAATATGGGAATTATCGGGAATCGACGTTCGCGCTTCAAAGAAGCCAAAGGAAATGCCAGGACAGAGAAACGCAGGGAAGATATGAATGGGACCATGGACATCTGGAACTCGAAGGGGACCTCTTCAGAGTTGAACGAGAAAAGAAAACCTGTCTACTCGGGTTCGGTTGTGTAATGGTAGCACACCTGACTGGCAATCGGGAGGCCCTGGTTAAAATCCCGGTCGTTCCCTGACTTTCTTTCGTCCTCTGCTTCATTCTATCATTCCTCTCCATGCATCTCCTATCACTAAGGAATAATTCGAATGTCAAAAGTTGAATCATAGAGCTCCCACAGAGATATATTGTTGGCCGTGGTCCTGCATGGGCCTTAACCCGTGACAGGGATGCACCCGTGCAGGCCTCCATTTGTCTGTTCGGCGTTAAGCGCGAGTGACTTTACCGTTCACGTCGTCTCAAGTCCTCTCGGAATAAGTGTGAAAGTTCACCACACTGTATAGGCGCCTCTGACATAGGATTGAGAGGAATCCATTCGAAGCATCTCCGACGCTCGCAGCTCCAACTGAATAGAGCGTCTCTGGCCGAAATCGACCTGGATGTAAAAGTTTTGGGGTTTCACAGAATTTTCGTCGGATGAATTTTGCCACATCGTGAAAGTAGACGGAATGAAATATTTCGAAATAAATTTAGAGGAAGAGCACATTTTATTATGAACTATTTCATGGAATCACCTTGTCGGACCTTTCCTCTAATGCCCTTGAAGACATCCTACTGCATTGATGTCATACATGCCGTCACATTCATCATGACATTCAAATTCCTTATTAAGTTTTTTTCCCTATTTTCATACAGACTCTTTTTGTTCCTCGGACTCTTCTCCTTCATACACGACCCCCGAGGGACATGCGAATGATGGTCAGGGTCGGGAAGGAATGCCACGTTCATCCACCTCGCGTTCCCAACCAGATGCTACATGACGCCATCGGCGGCTCTGGTGCCACCGTGGTTCCGATCGTCGCCACGAAGCAGACGACATCGGCGTCCTGTGCCCTCCTCCTCCATCTTCGTCTCTGACGCCCGGTGCAAGCCGTGAGGGGTCTGCCGGGAGGCTCGAACGAAGCATCGACAGGGCTGAGGAACGGATGGCACTCACGGTCAAGAGGATGGCTCGGTGACTGCTGGACGAGCGGAGGTTCGGCCCAAACTCAATCTCCCGCGTTGGAGCGCCCGACCGTGTCCCTGCGTTCCTCCTGGTTTTTACTCCTGTTCTTCCTCGTGGATGACGGTTTCTCTGTTCAATTGATTCGTTCGGGTCTTGCTGACGTCATCCTCGGCGTTTTCCCTCATAGATTTCTCCAGCAGTCTTCTAATTCGTTTTTCCTTGATTATTTCCCCCTCCAGCTCTTCTTTTGCCATCGTCAAGCGCAGTCAGAAAGGAATGAAGCTAAAAGGCACGATAGTGCCTTAGGAAATCCCAATATACGTGAGATGGAGGAATTCGGAAGGCTAACTTAAATTTTCAAGTTACTGGTAAGTGGTTATTAATTGGAAGTCCCAAGAAGCGAGCTTTCCCATTTTTTAATCCCCAATATCCAATAGGGAAACACACATAAAATTACATTTTTCTCTTGGGAATGACAACTGCACATCTCCGAAGCACGACGATGTCGTAATTACGGGATATCGGAAGCCGATGAGAGTCATCTACCATTCGGGTTGGAAACTAAAGCCTTCGGATGGTTTCGCTAAAGGGGCCAATACTGAAAGGTCCGAAGGAGCCCGAAAGATTTTTCGGAGAACATGCGAAACAGGCTTTTCCGATGCGAATGAGAAAATGAGGATCGTTTGCCTAAAAGTCGGAATTCGGATTCATGTTCTTTAGCCGTGATATCTCGCGAAGAAGGGAAAAATTCCAGCTTGTACGGCTTGTACTTTCTGATGCCTGATGCGCGCGTAGGGAATTCTTATGCCAATGTCCTTGCTTATTGTCCTTGCTTTTCGAAGGAATGATTCCGTTCCATTCTTTCTCTTTAGTCCGAAGTGTTAGGCGTTTTCCTCTGGAAAAGAATCCGAGATTTTAAAAAATGAGCGTTACCTCCTGAAGGTCCTTCAGGCGGTTCTCGGCGAGGCGAGGCGACTGCGCCCCGGTCGCCCAGAAGATTTCCATGGCTTCCTTGAGGTACTTCTCGTGTCTTTCGAGCAGTACCTCCTCGGTTAGGATGGAGCTTCCAGTGTCGCCTTGTCTGTCGCCTTCACCTGCGTCCCTGCCGCCGCAGAGGCAGGACATCTGGAGCCCGTAGTGGGTCAGGCTTCTCTCCACTGCGTCCTCGAGGGCAGCCGCCGCTACGTCCTCTTGGGACTTCCTGAAGGCTTTGTATCGTTCGTGTTCGCTAGACATGAGCTGCGGGAGGGTGGGGGGGGGGGTGGGGGGGTTCAGGGTGCGCCGAATAGTAAAAAAGCTCAAAGTAACCGTTGAAAATTTCACGAAACAAACTAGAAATGGGTAATGTGGCTAACCGACTCCAAGTCGTCCGCGTGTTTCTTCGCAAGATGCGGGTGCTTCTTGCTCGTCTCTTCGAAGGACTCGATTGTCTGTCGACGATAGCTCGCGTGAAAGTTGTTTAATTTCTCCTCGCTCATCAACTCGACCAGCAATTTGCTCATCTGGTCATTGTATATTTTCATGGCGTTCTCCTTGGCTTTCCTGAGTTCTGTTTCTGCTTGCCCTTCATTTGGCTCTCTCCGTTCGATGCACTTCTTATACTGCTCATCCAAGCGCTGGTAAAAAAAAAAGGAAAAAAGGTAAAATACTTCAACATTTAGAGGAGCATTACACTCCCTCAGAAAACAGTACAAAAAATTATTTAAGTTACCCGAATCATGTCATCCTGGTGGCCGCCAAGAAGATACGGACAGATCGTGTTTTGAGTCCTCTGCCGGAAAGTGTGGATCGCATCCCGGTAGAACTTCCGGCGCTCGCTTTCCAGCTCCTCCTCGGAGACATAGGCTCCTCCGCGAGTGTGGCCCAACTGCGTCCTGTAGGACCAGACGGCGGACTGGACGGCCTCGATCGGGTCCCGGTCGGCGGTGCTCTCTTTCGATTGCCGCTCTTTGAAGAAGTGGGTGGCCTCGGACTCCACGTCCTGGTTGGGTGAAAGCGTTAGAAATGTGTCCCCTCGGAGGAAGCACTAAAAGACTAAAGAAGGCTTAGAAGTGTTTAACAGATGTTCATGAAGGATGAAGTCAACTATTGAAATAGGGCTACTCCAGACCTTTTCAAGTTTCTGCTGGTATTGCCTGAAGAGCTCTTCATCTGCATTTTTCCCATTTCCTCGGAATTTTCGAATCGCCCTGGTCTTATTCTGCTCGTGTTCAAATCGCAGTTCCTCCCCCGTCGGTAGAGGAATCGCACGCATCACCTCCGCCATGTCTTCTCCGTACTTCTTGAGAGCGGCGGTGGCCGCTTCCATCAGTTTCCTCCTGGTTGGCTCTTCCCTCGCCTCTCGCTCCATCTCGTATTTCTCGTGCAGCTCGTGGATGTGCTGTTGGAATTCGTTTTGAGGACTGGTGTTGGGGGGATGTTTTGTCATGAGGGTTTGCAGTGGAGTTCGCGCTGTTTCAACTCATTATGTACCCTCGATGCTATTATATTTTAGCGTCCAAAAGAAACATCGCAAGGTAACTTAGAGCTCGCTCGCGTTGTAATAATTGTGATAGCGGTATATCCGGCCTTTGCTGAACAAGTCAGTACTGCTTGGAAATTATGAGCCTGTGCTCGCTTACTTTTGAGCGCTGTGCACTTGCTACGTCAGCAAAATGCCCAATTAGGTTTTCCCATAACACATTGCTAGAAAATTCTCCAAGAGCGTTTAACGCACCCTGCGTCCCAACGTCATGGAAATTCTTGGAACAAGCTGGCAGAATATTTGCCCTTGAGAAATGTAGTGATTCTCAAGGTTAAGTGTTGATACGATCCGGTTTAGGCCACGCGACTTTCCCTTGCGTTACACCCTCACCCTCCTGTTACACCCTCCACCCACCTATCGCCTCCTCCCTTTGCTGCTTTGCTAGCCTTGGCATATCTCTGGTGCTTTTCGGAGACGGGACGACGTGCACCTTGAAATCAGGCCATTTTTTGTCCATGGAAATTTGAACTTTGTATATGGCATGGAGAAAACATAATTAGGCAGTTTCCTGTGGTGGCACGTGCACAGCGCCCATATGTTGGCGAGTAAACGCTAATAATGTCCAAGCGATGCTGGCTCGTTAAGCAAATGACAGACATAATGCTACAACCCGGGAGAGCTCTAAATTGTCTTGTAACGTTTCTTTTGAACGCGAATGCTCATTCTCAGCCATCATACAAGAATATTCTGTATGATTTAAATTAATTTTCATTTAAAATAAATGCTCAAATGTGAAGTAATTAATGGAAGGCGATACCGTGCTAGAGAAGACACATACTAGAAGCCACCTCAAAGTGGGAATGGCGTCCAATTCCAGACGGATTTTCGTCTAATGCCCTCATGCGGAGGACGAAGGGAGTTAGCGAGTACACATCGGTTGGAGACAATTTAGGCACTTCCACGATGTACCGCAAAGACAGAGCGTACTGATTTGAAAGACCATTTGGCCACATGCGAGGCTGAAATGTTGAAATCCACAGACTCACCTCATCTAAAAGCGACTGGTATCTTTCCGATAGTTCTTTCCCGCCCATCTTTTTGGAACTGGTGAATCTTTCGATCGCCTCTATCCGGAGTTTAGCGTGAAATCGCTGTAGTTTCCAATGGGCCAGAACGGGAGTTTCCGCCAGGAGTCTGTCCATTCGTTGGGTGTAGTGGTCGACTGCTTCGTCGTGGGCGGTCCGGTGCTGGACCTCGGCGGTGGCCTGTGCAGGAGTTCTATCAGGTGTCTGAGGGGTATCTTACATGTGTCTGGTATCGTCTGGGGATTACCTCAAAAATACTCTTGGGCTCAAGGATCTCCTCGAGGTTGTTGAAAATCCCGATGTAACTTTTGAAGCATTTGAAGAGTTGTTTGCATGTGATGGGATTGCCGGCGATCGTCTTGAGGACCAGATTCTCTGGGGAGAGCAGCTGTGGCACCAGATGCCGGAGCTGATCCTTGAAGTCCTCCAGTATATCTGAAATCAGGATCATCATGCACAGAATTAAAGGGGATTTAATTGAAAATCGCTCAGACAGGTGGGACTGACCGGTAAGGGATCCGGTGAAATGAGGATCCCCAGCCACTTTATCCCCGGGATAAGGCATCAGGAAGCAACTGAGTTTCTCGAAACACTCTTTGATGTCTTCCTTAACTTTCTTCACATTTTCTTGCTGTCTCCCAGAAGTCTGATATCGCCAAAAGCCCCCAACCATGAACACTTTTTTTTAACTAAAAGGAATGTCTTGAAAATGACAGATAGTACGACAGACCTGGAGTTTTTCGTCCAGGAACGCCTGCCCTCCTTCGCTTCCATGGGGGAACTCGTGATGGTTCCTCCAATCCCTCACGAGGAAGAGGAAGTTCTGGAAGGGTTTGCCGTCGCTCGCCTCGAGGCACAGTCGGCCGTACCCAGTGAAGAACTAGAATCGAGAACGTTAGTCGTGTTCGTCATTTACATCATGCTCAGAGTATCCATCGCGTTCGTGGGTTGGGGCATGCCTCCAAGATTTTGTTGAAGTGAAGCCGCGTCTTTTTACAATGGTCGTTTCTCTTCCCCTTCGAAAACTTTGAGGGTCTCCCGCGATCCATTCGCAATTGACCTTTTCTTATTTACGAATTCGGGTTCATCTGGTCCATGATATGCGAATGGCATGGAAAGGACGCAGGCATGGCATTGACAATTTACTCCATGCAATATCATAACACATTCGTTCGATTTGGAGAAAAATACTTGACCGACCTAATAGGTTTCGATTAATTTCCTTCATCTCGACAACGTTTCTGATGCGATGTCTGATCACTCAGACATGTAAAACGGATTTATGCAACAAGTCTCGATACCGCACTCAACTTCCCTGTATCATGGGACACACAACGTGAGAGAGTCTTCTTTGACATCTTCATGCTACGTGTTACTGTATGGACGCCGTCAGTGTAACTTTGGAAGAAAACGTATGGCAGACTGCTGCTGCTTGCTGGAGTCAGCTTTTCTTAGAAAATTGAATAAATAACCGATTTTCCTATAGTGAGGCTTCTCGATGCTTTGTTTTATTCCTCATGTGCTGAAGTTAAAAGAAACCCCATGATCTCACAGGCGCTTAGAACTACCTGGAGGTGAAGCAGGTCGTCCATGTTGATATTTTCCTTGAGGTTGTAGATCTGGACGGAGCTGAGGAGTGTGCTGAGGGCGAAGATAGTGACGCTGTGGGCGAGGGACTCCTCGCAGTCGAAGGTCCCTTCCGTGTCCATCAGGAGGACGCATGCCTACAACGGGGATTCAAGGCTAATTAACGTCAACGGACTGTCAACATGATTTTGGGATATTTTCGGACTGGGCAAGAAAATGTCAACCCGAATTTCGTTCGCAGTTTGTAAAAAAAAAACAGGACATGCAATTTTATGGTTTCACGTATCCTCTTAAAGCTGTGGTTAATTCAAATCGATTGCTGCAAACTGTGCTATCATACCTACAGGGAATCAAAGGTTATGCTTAGTTGAATACACAGGGGATGGGGGAGGGAGGTAGAATATTCAAGCGCTGAAATATTGCTAGTATATCTGCCTGAATTTAATGACTGGTATCACAATATGAATGCCATGCGAAGAAGTAATGAGATTTAAAATAAAATTGTAAAGATCGATCTTCTTAATTGCAAGATAAAAGTTCGAAAGAGCGTCTATTTATTTCCTTCACTGCTTGAAGCCACTACTGCGAGAACTCACATATGGGTTTTCTCAGGCTTAACTTTTGATTTCCTTCAGGAGTTGAAGAATGTTTTACGGAATTCGATCAGGATTTAACTAGGCGTTTAAATTATACTTGGAACGTTTCAATCGCATGACCAGCAATTTTCCCCACTGTCCAAAAAATCCGGATTGTCGATTTATTGGCACTCTCGAAATATGTGCACATGTGCACCTTACCCTTCGTGATCATCTCATCACATTGAAAGTTGCCTTCCTGAGATTAAATTGACTACTTCAAGTTGTTTCACAAATATTTGCTTCCCAAAACGGCAGCTCTGCGTCGTTTCGACGTGGACCTGAGCGAGGGGGTGAGAGAGTTGCAGTGTGCCCCGTCGCTTCTCACGCTCGTGGCCATGTCGAAGGGACGCAGATCTGCTTTGAGATGTGAGTGATGGGCCTTGCAATGCCTGGATTTTAAACGTATAAATGACATCTTTAACCAAACTAGAAGCATTGCAGAAGCATGAGGAGGAACTACTTTAAATGGGGTTGTGTTACCTCGAAGGGAAAGGTTCTGGAGTAGAGCTGAAAAATGGCTTACCTTGAAATTCGCAATAGGACTTCATATATAAGACATGGAGGCATACGACCTGAATGGTAGGTGACTTATAGGACTCACCTCTTCCCCGTTGGGGAGCCTCAATGTAAAAAGTTCATCCCATATATGAATCCCAGTCGTTACCCTCTTGGCACTCATTTTCCATGCGAACCCTGCAATCGGAGTGTCTTCATCATCTAGCCAATCTTCAGACCCCTGAAACGAAGGAAAGTCGAGATAGGGGGACAGCAGGACAAACGAAGTGGAAGGATAGCAGGACAATAACGGGACTGCAGAACTCACTTGAGCCCTGAGATATCTCAGGAAGAGACTCAAAAGGAAGGACTTTCCCCTCCTCGCCCCCCCGGCGATGGACACCACTGCGACCGGCTTGTCTCTGCAGTCAGCCTGCAGCAGCATCCGCCGGAGTCGATCCTCCTTCAGCAGGTATGAGTCCTTCCCCTCATATTCATTGTGCTCCACGACGCATATGGCCCTTTCACAAACCGCGTCCTCGTTCATATCTGGATGGGGACTTCGGGATTTCTGTTAGGAACCGATCTCAGATTCAGTCCTTGTTCCGTACGTTTCCGGCAGATGGCTCACCCTGACCATCAGGATATCCCCGCGTTTCATGAAAGGGAAAGCCTTGTTTTTGCTCGTATTCCACCGTTTGAGGAAAATTGAATTCCCGATGGTCCCGGACCGAGGCACCTTATCTTTCTCAAATCGCAAGTTTCGGATTTAAGATGACATATTGGCCAATATTTTCGGTAATACAGCATTTAATACTTGGCTTCACACTGGCATACACTACGGAAACAACAGCATCGCTACAGGAGATCATGACAAATTATTGCATTCATTAAATTATTGATGCACGATATTTATTTTTATGCTGATCTATAGGGAGTAAAGTACTTCCTGCCCCCTCATATACCCTGAAAAACACACTCTTCCACGGAAAATACTCCAGATTGTCGTTTGTTCAGATTAGTTCAGTTCACCGGAAGCATTTCTTAACACTGCACTTGCGATCCAAAACCAAGGAGCATTCAAGGCTAAGCCAGTCCGACATATTTTCAGTAGATTCACTGTTGCAAAAAATACGTACTTCCTCCTTCTGTGATTCGACAAGATAAGGTGAATTCCCGCGGGTTTTGCATTGTAGAGTTTCTTATCCGGATTGCGGTACGAAGCGGATTGGGTCGCGCGACGTGCCTTTCGCACAACTGCTTTGCACCATTTTCGAAAAATGGTGTACAAAAATATCAGCACGAAGCATGAACTTGATGAGAACGCCTTGTTGGCAGTGCTCACCTTGTTGCGATGCCCAGGTGTCGAGACGGAGGTGATGGAGAAGAAGGAATGCTGGTTATCTCATTGACTCATGTCTAGTTTTTTTTTTTCCCAGCATCCCCTTATCGGCCTCCTCTTTTTCATGCATTGTTAGCCACTGATAATCGAGAGTGGAATTTCCGGTGTTAGAGTGTTCCCACGTTCTTTATGGATTCAAATCAGAGTCAAATAGACGGCCATTCAAGGTCATTGCCAGACCTCCTCAAAGGGCTTCAGGACTGGCCTCCGACCCCGGCAGCTCACCTACGTTGGTCCAACGTTGGGCTTATGTTGGAATTCCACATTTGTGATGAGGGCCCAATGTTGGACCCTCGTAGTCTTGTAATTTACATTTTTCTCTGTGGATGATTCCGTGCTTAGAGAAAAGAGAGGGTGAAAAATAAGTATTATCTGCTCCAGCTCCTCGTATTTCTCGGTGAGGTGGGGCCACACTGTGCCCCCTTCGTTCAAATTATCTTCGGTACTTCCAGTACTTCTCGTGTCCTTCGGGTAGCTTCTTCTCGGTGACTGCCTCCATTCCTGCCCCCTTCCCTTCTGAAGTTTCTTTACCGCTTGCGTTCTCTTCCCATCCGTTGTGGGGAAGGCGAGGGGTGAGGACAGGAATTTCTTTTTTTTTTTTTAGCGAGGACCGAATGGTAAAATATTTCAGTCAACTTTAAATCTTGATATAAAATTTATATTGAAAATTAGGGACTGCTTCTAAGTCATCCAAGTGTTTCTTTGCTAGGTTGCTCATATTCTGAGCCTGTTTCTTCAAAGGATTCAGTTGATCCACGATGATGTTCCGCAAGCTGTTTGATGCTGTTTTGTTCCTCTAATCCAACATCAATTCCTCCAATCAATTTTGTTCATCTAATCCGCTCGTCTAATCCAACAATAAGTTGCATTGTACACTCTTTGAAAAAGGGAAGCGATTTTTCTCAAAAAAGAGAGTAAAATAGCTAACTCCAGCTTCATCACCCTTTCACTCTGGGAAAGGAGCGAATTTACTCCATCACCAAGGAGTAAAATTGCTCTCCTCCGTGATAAAAAATGCTCCCCTCAGGAAGTGATAGGGATGTCATGCAAATACGAAAATTCCCATAAATACTGTGTGTCGCTTTCGCTCTCGTACAGGCGTTGACCTACCTCTGACTGTACTGATTACACTACACGTCAGAGGGTGGACCACTTCTTTTAGGTTCCATGGAGTGTCCGAGATATCAACCCCTTATTACCTCATTTAATTGAGGCATGATTAAATGAAGTTCACGGACGCTCTCTGTGTATTCTAGGTCTTCTATAAGGATAAAACCATACGCGTTCCAAAAGGGTTCTCAATTGGAATTTGAGCTTGTTTATGGCCTGGACTCGATGAATAAGTCTTGAATGTGTGGATAACAATTGATGAAGTGTCCGTGTTTATTGATTCTTATAATGACACTAGGCGAGACATATGGCAAGGTACTAAACAATCCTACGAGGGACGATTCCAAGGAAAGAGGGAAGGGAACTTTTGCGTACTTTGCGAAAAGCGAGACTCTTAGCTCCATCTAGTGGCCTGGCGAAGAACCTCAAGGTGTTCACTTCGATACGAGCGATGAGGGAGCATTTGGTGAGTAATGAGAGAGCAAATTCGAAAAGCTCACGGTGTGCTCACTTTTTACCACCCAAACGTTATTTTCTAAGAGTGTACCTCATTCTCACTGCGGCGCTATCTCGCTCTTTCTCCGGATTCTCATCAGCTGTTTGCTACTCTGTAGAAGAGGTTCAGGGATTCGTCCTGCATGCGATGACATGCATGATAGGGCCATCTCATGCCGTACGACGAAGACTACCTGTGTACTGATTTGAAGTCGGGATTTTTCTTCTGCAGGTGTTTTTTCTGCAGTGAAGACGTGGCTTCAGTTTCCGAAAAGGCGGCTGGAATATTCTCCAGCCACAAATCAGAAATGGTTGAACTTCATACGAAAGGTCCATTTTCTGATGCTTTAAACATGATCCATGAGAGCAAAAATGGTACAGTCCAGCCAAAATCTGATGTGAACGGAACTTCAACTGCAATAAGCGATTTCTCAAGGATATAATTGAAATGGGCGACCGTCTGCATCTCGAGGTAATTTTACGGAAGCGATGTCCTCGAAAAACGCTTCATAACGGTTTCCAATGTGAGGCGACGATGTGAGACCGCTTTCGGTCTTGGCAGCAAAAATCCATCGAGGTAGAAATCCGTTTCGTAGGGAAGCAAATGGGGACCATTTGTTCCAATTTATTTCATGGTCCCTCCAGCATGCTTGCGGAAAGCGCTTACCACGTCAATTGCGGCTTGCAGGCAGTGTAGTCGGTTTTGTCATGCAAGACAAAATGGAGGACTATCGCCAAGTGGCCATATTTCCAAGGTAATATGGCCACTTGGGACCAACTTGGAATAACGACGCACAATAATAACTACATGGCTGTTGAAGTGTTAAGGAAAGGGCTCGGCACGAGTCTATGTCTTGTGATCCCTAGAACCGTATTTTCACCATCTTGGCTTATTAGTTACTCGTGGGAGTGATCATATGAATGTCCCAGGTCAGAGCATTGAATATCTGCCGTGCTAAAGCCCTGAGAAATTGGTTGCTCAAATGGTTCTATAAAAGTTTCACAAAACAATAATCCCAATCCGAACCTTTAATTTTTTTTTTAGAGTAGTACCGTTCTTCGCTACGTATGCTTAACGGTTGATTGATGGAGTGATCGTGGGATTGTCCTAGGTCGTAGCGTTCAGGTGCTACCCTGTCAAGGCCATGAGATCCAAGCTCCAAGAATCAGATTCAGCTCTTCTACGAAAATGGTTCTATGAAGATTTCACTCTTGACCCTTTATTTTTTTCTTCCAACCCAAGGAAGAATAAATCATTTGAGCGCATCTTTGACGCTCGCAACGCGGTGGACGTTAGGAAGGGAAGACCAAAGCTTCGAGGCCTTTCAGGAGTTTTTGCTTGATTTTATGAGAGGAATGGAAAGAAACCGTTTCGAAATAACTTAAAAGGAATCTTGCATTTTTTAAAATCATTTCACGGGATCAACCCACTGATAAATGACGTATTTATTGGATGCACTAGAAGCATCATCCCACATTGGTATCATTTAGACCCACAAATTCATCATAGCTTCTCCTCCATACGTACAATTATTTCGGATTCTTCTCATTCTGACACTTGTTCTTCGGAATCTTCTCCTTCTTTGGGTGAACTCTTCTCCTGACCCCTTAGGGGCATGCGAATGCTGGAAGGGTCTGGAAGGACGGCCTTGTTCTGCCACCTCGATCCCCCTGTATAGCACTTTGCGATGCCACGAGCGGCACCCATGACGGCACCGGCCGCCACAGGGCCGGCGGGCCCGAGGCTCGCGACCGCCATTGCGCCCGCTGTCCCCAGGATGTCGATGGCTGTTGCGTCCTGCTGTCGTTTCGCGCGCTCTTCCGCCATCTTCGTCTCCAATGAGCGGTGCCAGTCGTTTAGAGTCTGCCGGGAGGTTCGTATGAAAAGTTGGACTCAACTGCGATGAGAGTAGGAGCTGAGGGCACTCACAGATTCGAGGATGGATCGATATTCCTGCAAGAGCTTAGCGGCGGCCCAGTCTCCACGTTCCAAGAAGGATCGCACCACTGCGTCTCTGTGTTCCACGTGGTTTTCTTTTAGTTCTCTCTCGTCCACAACGGTTTCCCCATAGAATTTCTTCATCCGACTTGGGCTAAGGTAGTCCTCGGCCTTTGCTCTCACGGATTTCTCCAGCAATCTCCTCACACATTTTTCATTCGCTTTCTCTTTCTTCTTGAGCTCATCTTTCCTCCTCGCCAGGCACTGTCAGAAAAGGGGAGATTATGAGGCGCGATAGTGACTTGGATTGACTGTGGAATGTTGGTATTATACAGTATATTTGATCTCATAGCTCATGTGTGAAGTCCAAATCTTGTGCACCCTGAATTATTGCATTTTTAGCTTTTATCTACTACCAGCGGTATTCAAAGCCCAGACTGGTTTCTATTTTCTTGCGGATCACTATTGTGACTTATGTGACTTTTGAGTGAGGAGTATGACTGGAATGAATGTTACCTCCTCCAGCTCCTCCTTGTATATCTCTGCGAGGTGAAGCCACTGCGCCCCTATCTCCCAGAAGATCTTCAGGGCTTCTCTGCGGTACTTCTCGTGTCCTTCAAGCAGTTCCTTCTCTGTGAGGTGACTGTCGGTGGGTCCCGGCCTCCCTTCCAGCCTCTTCACCTGCCTCCCTCCGTCGGCGGTGTCTTTGCCGCCGCAGAGGCAGGACATCTTAAGCTCGTAGTGCGTGACGCTTCTCTCCACCGCGTCGTGGAGGGCAGCCTCGGCTTGGAGCTCTTGAGAGTTTCTGAATTCTTTGTATCGCTCGTGCTCGCTTGAAATGCGCTGTAGTTGAAAGGGGGTGGGAAGAGGATTTTTTTTTTCGAATGAGGAATGGAATGGAATGGAATCATTTGAAAGAAACTGGAAAATTAAAAAAAAAAATAGAATTAAAAAAAAATGCGAATGGCTGACCGCCTCCAAGTCGTCCTTGTGCTTCTTTACAAGGTACGGGTACTTCTTGCCTGTCTCGTCGAAGAACTCAATTGCTTGTCGATGATAAGTCGAATGCATGCCGTTTAGTTTCTCTTCGCTCATCAGAGCTACCAGCAACTTGCTCATCTAGTCATTGTATTTTTCTATGGTATTCTCCTTGGCATTCATGAGTTCTGCCTCTGCTTGTCTTTCGTTTAATTCTCTCAGCTCGATATACTTCTGATACTGTTCATCCAAACGCTGCCAAAGAAAAATAATAAGTAATAAACAAGGAAATATATGGAACATTTTGAATGGGATGAAATGGAAACCTCAGGCCGTCGAATGACCCAAGCCTATGAAAGGAGCAAGGTGAGGTCTAAGTAAGTAAGGTTTGAGTAAGGAGTAAGGATTAGTAAAGTAAGGATTTAGGGCGTTTTCCTTAAATAATATCTTTCAAAGTCATCACAAAACGCGATCGTTTCTGCTACTTTCGTAGGATTCAGTAACACCATACATTTGAGCCGCGAGGCTGTTCCTCCAAATCGATTGTTCACAGAGGCCCTTTCCGAATGACTTAAGCTGAGATTGCTTCAGATTTATTTGATGCAGCTTTTCCTGCTTAAGTGTGCAGTTCCATCGCCTTATAGCAAAAATAAATTTGGAATGGGCGCCGGTGTCGCGGTGTCTTCTTTCTCCCAGAATTTTCCTTCCCCCCGGAAAAAAATTACCGGTAAATTTTATTTTTTCCAGGGGAAAGAATCCACCGGTATATTTTTTCCGGGGGGAACATATTTATGGGGGTTGAAATATCCCGGGACACCTGTCCTAACCACCTGAAGATGCAGGCTGTCTGGCATATTTTTGGAAGACGTTCTTTCGTTATGCTTTTCTTCTTTTTAACTTCTTTAGAATTCGACTCATATCCGCAGGCTGGTTTTGCCTGAAATAAGTAAGCTTTTGTTGCAATTTTTTGTTCTGTGCTGATTCAGTAAATATTCAGCATTTAATGGAGCGTTACACTACCCCGAAACGTAATGCTTAAGAAAGTGTTACCTTCGTCAAGTTGTCCTTGTGTCCATCGAGAAGATAGGGACAGAGAGTGGTTTGCGTTCCTCGAGAAAATGCTTCGATCGCTTCCATGTAGTACTTGCCGTGCTCGCTTTCCAGCTTCTCCTCGGTGATGACCGCTTCTCCGCACGAGCGGCCGAGTTGGGCGCTGTAGACCGTGACGGCGGATTGGACGGCGTGAAGCAGCTCCTGGTCAGCAGTTTTCTCCCTCCATTGCCGCTCGGTGAAGTGAAGGGTGGACTGGGAGTGGATGTCCTGGATGAGGGTGTTTGGCGGGGTTGTGGGGGGGGGGGGAATTGGTACTTTAGCAAGAAATGCTTGAAATCATCTCATTTGCTCATGTGAAGAATCCCCAGGGATATCAGATGTAGCGATTAACTTAAGAGAACATTTAAACTGCAGAATATGAGAAAAGTTTCGAACCTTTGCCAGTTTCTCCTGGTATTGCTTGAAGAGATCTTCATTGGCGATTTCCTCCTTCCCTCGAAAGTTCAGCATTGCTCGGGTCTTCTTCTCCTCGTGCTCTCCCCGGAGCGTCTCCTCGGTAACTAGAGGGACGATCCTCATGACGGTGGACATGTCCTCCCTGTACTCCTCGAGGGTCTTGTTTGCTGCTTCCATCAGTTCCGTCCTGGTTCGTTCTTCCCTGGCGTTTCGCTGTATCTTGTGGATCTCGTGCAATTCGTGCAGATTCTGGCGAAAATAATTTTGACGGAAGGTTGTAAAAGGAACAAAGCTGCAATGCTTGATCGAATGAGTGTTCGCGCTATTTCATCGTAGGCTTCCCATCTCATCGGGTAATTTGGTCTTAAAGATATTTCATATGTCATTTAAATAATGCATATGAAATTCTCTTCCGAAAACACATTGGCAGATGCTGCAGTGCAACGGAAGTGCTTCAACTCCAAGACTCTCTTCCCCTAAGCGGCGAACTCCCTCTGAGTGAGCACGCCAACTCAGAATGGGACTGTCGCCCCTTTTAAAAAATATTATAAAAGTATTGCTAAAACATACGAAAAAGGTAGCATGAGATAAGGTATTGTCACGGTTTAGCCAAGGGAAGCGCGATTCTTCCGGTGGCAGCTAGATAGCGCCTCCCGGGACGCCGCAGGTGCGAGGTCAACGTGATGACATCTTTTAAAATTCTCTTTTTCTCTGTATAAAGTCTCCCCTATGCTCTAATTTGGACAGCGGTCGTCCACATTATATCAGGAAGTATTAGAAGATCCGGGAAGCTCCGCGTATGTATAGGTTGTATGTGCGTTTGTAGGTATGTATAGGTAACATGGGAGAGGATTTGACCGACTGGGGGCAATGCAACTTTTCCCACGATGGAGCACCGAGTCAAAGTATGCAGATTTGAATGCTCAATTTCTCCCTGCAATTTGTGAAATTACAACAGAAATCTCATATAGAAATGTATGCTCAGACCTTTTCTAAGAGGAATACATATCTTTCCGATCGCTCTTTTCCTCCCATCTTCTTGGAATTTGTGAACCTGTCGATTGCCTCCTTTTGGAGCGAAGCGTGAACCTCATCCAGGCTCTTCTGGGTCGGTACAGGGGTTTCAGCCAGGATTTGGTTCATCTTTTGGGTATAATGGTCGACGGCTTCGTCACGGGCGTTCCGGTTCTGGATCTCGGCTGTGGCCTGGGACGGAGAGAGCTGTTCTGAAAGAGATATGCTAGCGTTTGAGAGGTATCCGATGGGATATGATGGGATTACCTCGAAGATGCTCTTGGGCTCGGGGATTTTCTCTCTGTTGTTGTAAACTCCCACGTAACACCTGAAGTATTCGAAGAGTTCCTTGCACGTGATGGGCTTGCCAGCGATCGTCTTGAGGACCAGATTCTCTGGGGAGAGCAACTGTGGTACCAGTTGCCGGAGCTGATCCTTGAAGTCTTTCTGTATATCTGAAACCGCGATGAAAAAAATTTCTTTCAAGTTCTGCTTTCAATTCCAGCTCGGCTCATTCCCGCTGAAACGAGATAATGGGGAATCACCAGAAAGGGAGCCGCTGAAGCGAGGATCCCCAGCCACTTTCTCCCCGGGATGAGGCATCAGGAAGCAGTTGAGCTTTGTGAAGCAGTGCTTAATGTCTTCCTTCACTTTCCTTACTTCTTCTCGCTGTGTCTCTGAAGTCTGGCGTCAAGAAACAACCCCATATCATGAAAAGTATGATTGAAAATTAATAATGAATTAAATTAGAAGGCGGGAAGGAAGACAGACCAGAAGTTTCTCGTCCAGGAACGCCTGCCCTCCTTCGCTTCCATACGGGAACTCGTCGAAGTTCCTCCAGTCCCTCACGAGGAAGAGGAAGTTTTGGAACGGTTCATCGTTGCTCTCCTGGAGGCACAGGCGGCCGTACCCAGTGAAAAACTGGAATAAAGAATGTTCATTATGTTCAGCACATTCTTCATGTTCATTTTTTACTTTCAGCATTTTGTTAATATTAAGCATGTTCACTATGTTCATGGGACAAATTTCTCATGGAACTTAGCTACAAGTACAGGTGTAAGGACTTGTAAATTAGCTGGCACTGTGAAACTAAACCCATTTTTCGAATTGAGTGAACTTGAGTGTATTTGTAGTTCAAACTTGTAAAAATTTACTTTGTGGAGCAGAAACATCTGGTCCTAGTGAGGCTCATGACAAGTTCTTGGGAAGCCATCGTCAAGCCTTGACCAGCCCCCTTCGTCACGACGTCCTTCGAGTCGAGGAGACAAGAGGTACCTGGAGGTTTAGGAGGTCGTCCATGTGGATGTTATCCTTGAGGTTATATATGTGGACGGAGCTGAGGAGGGTGCTGAGGGCGAAGACGGTGACGCTGTGGGCGAGGGACTCCTCGCAGTCGAAGGTCCCTTCCGTATCCATCAGGAGGATGCACGCCTGGAATATGGAGTTCAAGTATCTATATGTACTAGCTAGTTTGTACCTAGGTATATCAGTCATGAGAATGGCCGGGAGGGAAGATAGGTTGGAGGAGAGGATGAAAGAAAGCCAGGGGACGGCCGAGAATTGAACCCGTTCCTGCTGATTACCGGTCAGGTGTGCTTCCATTACCCCACCGAACCCGGGATCCTTTCGTGCCTCTCGCTGACATCCTCATCATTACATATTTATTTAATAGAGTATAGTATACACGTATAGTACATAAACTTGCTGAAATCGGTAGTCGGAGTACTTGATGCCCATCAATTTTCAGCTGCATACGTTCGCCATTTTCGCTGGTGCAAAAAATACCTTTGGAAAAGCCGACCCAACTAGAAACTTTGCCTTGAGGGTATGCACCACATATTTTGAAATTTTCCTGAACTCGATATCACTTCAAGTTCCACATTTCCATGTCTACCCTATTCAACAAGACTAAATTATTTGGATAGGTCAAGTCCCAAAAAAAATATACTCCATGGGATGTATCTAAAATGTGACTTTTTTCTGAACTCAGTATCTTAGTCGGCACGTTCCTGCCAAGTTTTACCTTTAGGGGTCTCTCCATTTGACCGAAAAAATAAAATTGATTTGAAAGCATCTCCCTCAAATCATGTGCCCCAAGGGGGAAATTTACCTCCAAAGTCTGAATTTGTCTGAATTCAGCATCCCAGTAGGCATCTTTGTACCAAGTTACAGGCTTGTACCATATATATAATATGGTTAGAATCAGCGTCAGTGTGTCAGTCACTGTCAGTCGCGATCGTCAATTTATATGAGCGATTTTTTAAAATTACGGACTCGTGATTGCAAGTCGATCAGAGGATCTCCATGATTTCAACAAGGAGGTAGTTAGCGGATAACGAGGTTGTCTCAGGGTGCCTAGTCCGGTGATTTGGAAGAATTGGTCATAGTTGTTATCAAAATGAATGCTAAGAATTGTCCAAAGGAATTGTTTCTACAACAGAAAAATCCACGGGCGCAAGCGTAATCGACGTGTCCCACTTTCTTGCCTACCGTTCGATGGCAGCAAGCAGCACTAATATACTCACCGTGGTAAGTAACCTGAGAATCCATGTGTCGATGTTGATGGAACCTTTATCTAGCATGCAATCCCGAATCTTACGGCAAGTAGGCTACGGGCCGTCGCAATGGACGTACACGAAAGGAAATCGCACCTGTTGGAAGAAGCATATTAATCCACTGGGGGATTACTTTAAACTTGGTCATGAAGAAGTTGAAGGTACGGGATCCCCGCCAAACGAAAGCTTTCTAGCAACGTGTTGATAGGTCCTCCTATATGAAACATATTAGCCTATGGATGTATGGGGAAATTCATTTAACTCACCTCTTCCCCATTTGGGAGCTTCAATGTGAAAATTTCATCCCAGATATGGATCCCTGTCGTAACCCTCCTTGAACTCATTTTCCATGCAAACCCTTCGATAGCAATATTCTCATCATCGAGCCACTCTTCAGACCCCTGAAACGGAAGAAAGTCGAGATAGGTAGGCAGGGGGACAACCGAAGTGGAGGGATAGCAGGACAATAACGGGACTGCAGAATTCACTTGAGCCCTGAGGTATCTTAGGAAGAGACTCAATAGGAAGGACTTTCCCCTCCTTGCCTCCCCGGCGATGGACACCACTGCGACCGGCTTGTCCTTGCAGTGCTCCTGCATCAACAGCCGATGCAGTCGATCCTCCTTCAGCAGGTACGAACCCCTCCCCTCGTGTTCATTGTGTTCCACGACGCAGATGGGGCTTCCACGGGCCTCTTCCATGTCCATACCTGCTCAGATTTCGAAGGATTTTTGCAAGATGAATTAATCTCTGACTAACGGTGTGCATTTTCAATTCCGACTAATTGGTCTACCGGGTCAATGGAACGGCTAGGAAAGCCTAGTTTTTTTTATTTATTTTCCTCTCTTCAAGGCACTGATGTGTTGCCACGACCCGCTCTGCACTGAATCCACACTGAATTATGTTAAGGTGAGAAAACCGGGTGGAATATCAACACTTTCAACACAATGTCAAAATAATACGGCTGTACTTAATTTACAGTGTTTGTTCAGTCTTAGATAACTCCAAGATAGTAACGTTAATGAACTTCTCTCAAGTGTGCTTAACTTTTTGTTGAGTCAGTTGGAGCCAACTGGTACTGCGAGTACTCGGATCCCGCTATATGCGACAAGATTCACTGGAGGGCCGCGCGTTCAGAGGAAATCAATGGGGTCGTGGTCTGGGGTCACTTTCCACCTAGAATTTCTACTAAAGTTTTCTTAAACGTGTTAAATGAGACCTCGAGCATGTGGCACGATCGTCACACGCCCTCCACGTTCGGAGGGAGTCGCGGGGTCTGATTCTTTTTGGAAGGAGACCCAAAGAAGTATTCAAGCACACGGCGGGCAACACCTTGAAATGGAGCTCAACTGGGTGTCACGGCGTCAGGCTATCCTTTGTTTCGACATTGAAGGAATGCGAATATTTAAAGAGCATGTATAAAGACTACCATTGTTTCCATGACTTCTATCTTGCGGAAGCAGTACTCAAGATTGCAATGTCTGTATCATGCCTCTTGACGCTTGACAACGTCTCCAGCTAGGCGTGAGAGAATCTTTTAAACAGGAAGCACAGGGTTTTACAAAAATTTATTTTCGCTGTTATGGTTGGTCGTGCGCACAATCTTGCCAGTTTGAATCAACGGAAGCTGATGCGCGTAATCGATGCAGGTGCTGTGTTGGCGTCACCATCTTGTCATATACCCTGAAACCGCCACTCATAAGGTTACCCAAAAAATGTACCTCGTTTTGAATATCCTTGAAAATAATAGTTTTCAAGTTATTATAGCAATTCATCCTCTGGAATGTAAGAAAAACACCTGGAATTCTATTTCTTAAAACGACATGAACATGTGTTACATATTGCACCCTCAATTTCAGTATTTTATCGCATGTGCGATCCAGGCACCTCGGCGCTGGATCATTGCTGCTACCCGGACATTGAAGTTAGCAATTACCCCGTCCAACATTTCTCCCAGGATGAATGCGCCTGATCTCTTTCCGCGTGTGGTCTTTCGATGCTCCAATGGTTTCAGGGTTATTGGCATGCACTCTCCCCTTCAAGTATCCCAAAAGGAACTAATCTGGAGGGGACAGATAACATTTGGCCGCCATATTCCCCCGATCTTACACTTGGATTTTTCCGGAAGTCGAATTAGGAGGTCGTTATGGGTAAAATTTTCTGGTTTTTTAAAGAAGAAGTCCGAGAAAAATACCCCCACGGGGATACCACGATACCAGCACCACCACTATTTCCTTCTGGAAACCTTGTTTCATCGAGTTAATAGCAGCTGGCAGGACTGATGCTCCATCATTTCATAATTCATCATTTTACGAATAACTCTTGACCTTGCACACTGATTGGATCAAGCCCAAGGTAATTTTATTTTACAAACAAATGTGTATTCAATAGCACTGATTGCGTCAGAAGACGCGACAGGCAACTTTTATCTAATATTGCAAAATTATGATTTTCAAGAAAATGAGGAAAAGCGCGAGTCGGAGTCCCAATGAAAATGTTAAATCTTCGAGGGTTAAGCTGTCAAAAATTTTACGAGCTCTCTATTCCGTTTTTTTGGTGCTAGATCGTTCACAGAAACATATGAGAAGGCCAATTTTTGTAAAGCCAACGCTTTTTCGCATGTGTTATAGGGTAGAGGCACCTGTTTATGGGCGGGTGCCTATTTGTGGACAGTTTCGCGTTTTTTGCCATTTCACAAAATTAACGCCGAAAGTTTATTTCCTCAAATGCTCCAAATTTTGCACATGCCTGTCAGCCACCATATAAATTATGCATACCCATCAGCATGAGTGAACTTGGACATTTTCGCTTAGTTTTAGCCCTAGCACCCCTGAATTCCTTAATTTTTCCAATGATCTTTCTCAACAGGACATCATTGAAGATGAATAAAACTACAGTACATCTCTTATATTCGTATTTTTCTATTCAGCCTACGCATATTCATAATTGTTGACAAAAACTGGTGTCCACAAATAGGAACCATGTGAAAATCAACATATAGCCATTTAAACAGCTATTTTTGGAAAAGCATGTTTTTAATATTTTATTTTAGTGTTATGGGCATCAAAGTATGATAAGGGGCCTCGCATTGAAACCAATCAAGCGGTTTCTCGGTTACCCCAACGACCGTAATGCTACTTTCATGAGGAAGATTTCCTTAACCTGTCCACAAACTGGTGCCTTTACCCTATGTTGAAATCCTTCCACCAGCCAGAGGAAGTGTCATCAGAGGCTCAACCCCACCCCACCGCATTCATCCCAGGCAGCCATATCTTCTTCAAAGTTTCTCTTCCTGGGCTTTCCTTTTGTATTCTCAAGAAGGCCTTCCCATTAACAGCATATCTGTGGTAGAAGAATGCTCCATTCCAGTCTGCATCAACCAACCAAAATCCAAAGGATTCCCTACACTCATCACCACGTCCAAGACGCTGTCGTCTTCACAGAAAGTCGTATGAACGTCAAATTCAGAGTCGCCTAATAGACTTCCCGACAGCACTAGAAATAACTTCCGCTCTGCAATCCCTCACGCCAAACAAGGAAACATCGAAACCTCGCTCAGCAAAAATCATCCTTTTCAAGCAAAGAACAACTAAGCCGCCAAAGGCTTCGCTTCGACATTCCTTCCTTCCCTGACCCTCCCTCCTTCAGAGGTCTATAGACATGCATTTCGTACGGTTGACGGGAAAATTCGACGCATCTTTGACGTTCGCAGCTCAGCCGAATTGAACGTCACGACTCGGATCGATCTGGAAGTCAACCTTTTGGGGTTTCAATTTTTGCCGAATGAGTTTTGTCACATCGTGGAAGTAGACGGAATGAAATGTTTCAGAATCGTTTGAAAGCAATAGGACATTTTATTATTAAGTATTTCATTGAATCATCTTGTGGGAACGTTTCGCTGATACACTTGAAGACATCATTCAACATTGATATAATTCCTACCGCTACGATGACATACTTCTCATTGCATGTTTTCCTAATTCTCACGTTGACATTTTTCGTTCTTCGGACTCTACTCCTTCGTCGAGTGAAGGGCTCATCGGACGACCCCCGAGGGGCATGCGAATGCTGGCAGGGTCGGGAAGGACGGCCTCGTTCTTCAGCCTGGAGTTCCCAACCTGCTGTGAGATGACATCTTCTGGTCTCGTTGAGGTAGTCCTCGGCGTTTTCACTCGCGGACTTCACCAGTAATCTCATTCGTTTTTACTTGGTCTTTATTTTCTTCTCGAGCTCTTCTTTCGCCATCGTCAAGCGCTGTGAGAAAGGAATGAGCCTACAAGGCACAATAGTGCCTTATAGTGACAGGCAAGTTAGTGATTCATATTCCCGGTAGAATGTCAGCCTTACATTCTCACTCTCATTACTCGCGTTCGCGTTCGCGCGTGAAATCCTATACACGTGCACTTAATTCTGCAAAGTTTAAAGGTTTGTTTTCTACGATTCAGTACTTTCAAAGTCCTGAACATTCAGCGAGTGATAAGATGTGCGTCATGTGACTAATCTTGGTGGTCGAAAATTTAGATCCAGTACATGCTATTCTGAAGTGTTCGCATTTGATATAAAGATTCATTGTTGTAAGTGGGTGTCAAAATATTTTATTGGAATTAGCGCTGATGTATGAAATTTAGGACGAAGGAAGAGCCGATAGTAATGGAGAATACAAAGCGGACTAATAGCTTTTCGGCGAAAAACATGAACATATACTCTTATAATCTTAAGCGAAGTGTTTTACATTTTTCTCTGGAATTGATTCCGAGCTTAGAAAAAGGTGGGAGAGTGAAGAAAATTTGTGTTACCTTTTCCAGCTCCTCCTTGTATTTCTCGGCGAGGTGAAGCCACTGCACCCCAGTCGTCCAGAAGATCCCCAGGGCTTCCTCGCGGTACTTCTCGTGTCCTTCGAACAGCTCCTCCTCGGTTAGGATGTGACTGTCAGTGGCACCCTGCCTCCCACCGTCATTAATGCCCTTGCCGTCGCGGAGGCAGGTCATCTCGACTTCGTAGTGGATCACGCTTTTCTTCACAGCGTCGTTCAGGACAGCTGCAGCTTGGAGCTCTTGGGCGTTCCTGAAGGCTTTATATCGCTCGTGTTCGCTTGACAAGCACTTTGGGAGGGGGGAGGGGAGTGTTTTCAGGGAGGACCGAATAGTAAAACGTATAAAATAAACATAGCAATTTAACGCAAAATTAAAACAAAAATTATATAAATTGCTGACCGATTCCATTTCGTCCGCGTGTTTCTTCGCAAGCTTCGGGTACTTTTTCCCTGTCTCTTCGAAAGATTCCATTGTCTCTCGACGATAGTGCGCATGCATGTCGTTTAGTTTCTCTTCGCTCATCAACTCTACCAGCAATTTACTCATCTGCTCGTTGTATATTTCCATAGCCTTCTCTTTGGCTTTCATAAGTTCCGTTTCTGCTTGTCTTTCTTTCGATTCTTTCAGTTCTATGTACTTCTTATATTGCTCATCCAAACGCTGGTAAAAAAAAAACGGAAAATGAAAAAAAAGGTAAAATACTGCAATGTAAAAAATTTAGAGGAGCATTACACTCCCTTCGAAGAAAATAGGGACAATGAATTAAGTTACCCGCATCAAGTTGTACAGGTGACCATCAAGAAGATACGGACAGATTGTGTTTTGAGCTCTCCGCAGGAAGCCGTCGATCGCCTCCTTGTAATGCTTCCGGTGCTCGCTTTCCAGCTCCTCTTCGGAGATGGCGGCTGCTGTGAGAGAGTGGCCCAACTGGTTGTTGTAGAACCAGACGGTGGAATGAAAGTTGTTGATCAACTCCCGGTCGGCGATGCTCTCCTTCCGTTGCCGCTCTTTGAAGTAGAGGGTGGCCTCGGACTCCACGTCCTTGTTGGGTGAATGGGAACGCGTAAGAAATGTGTTTTCTAGGAGGGAGCAATTAAAGAAGACCAACAAGTGTTTAACAGATGTACATGAAGGATGGAGAAAACTGCTGAAATGTCAGTAGATATTGACTATTCCTAACCTTCTTAAGTTTTTCCTCGTATCGTCTGAACAGCTCTTCATCTGCACTTCCCCGATGCTCCAGAAATATTTGAATCGCCCAAGACCTCTTCTCCTCGTGTTCCACTCGCAGCTCCTCCGCCGTCGGTAAAGGGACTGTAAGCATGACATCGGCCATTTCCTCTATGTACTCCCTGAGAGCGCTGGTCGCCGCATCCATCAGTTCCGTCTTGGTTCGCTCTTCCCTCGCGTTTCGCTTCATCTCATAATTCTTGTGAAGCCTGTGGATGTCCTGTTTGAATTAATTTTGAGGGCAGGAGTTAGGGGGTGTTTTGTCATAATGTGTAGGCGAGGAATTCGTATTGTTTCTACTCTTGTCTGGCAGCATTATCTACCCACTATGCGATTATATATTCTCGATCGTTTAACCTTTTATTTTCAAAGTGTTCTGATGTGAAGAAATTAAAGGCAGGCGCCATTGTGGCAAAGAAGACTCCTACCAGAAGCCACCTCAGAGTGGGAATGTTGTCCCGTTCAAGACAGATTAACGTCCAATGGCATCATGAGCAGGATGAAAGAAGTTAACGATGATACATCGGTTGGAGGCAATCCAGCCACATCCAAAATGTTGAGTCGAGACTGAGCATGCTGACTTGAAAGACCAATTTGACATGTGGGAAACTGTAATACGAATCTCATGTGTAAATCTTCGGACTAACCTTATCCAAAAGCAACTCGTATTTTCCCGATAGTTCTTTGTCACCCATCTTTTTGGAACTGGCGAATCTGCCGATCGCCTCCATTCGGAGTGAAGCGTGAACTTCATTCAGTTTCTTTTTGGTCAGGAAGGGGACTTCCACCAGGAGTCGGTCCATGTGTTGGGCGTAGTGGTCGACTGCTTCATCCAGGGAGTTCCGATGCTGGACCTCGGCAGTGGCCTATAGAGAAATTATTTCGGATACTTGACTATGACGTAGACGTTTCTGATGGGTTTCGTCTCTGAAATACCTCGAAGATGTTCTTGGGCTTGAGGATCTCTGCTCGGTTGTTGAAAACTCCGATGTAACATTTGAAGTATTCGAAGATTTGCTTGCATGTGATGGGCCTGCCGGCTATCGTCTTGAGGACCAAATTCTCTGGGGAGAGCAGCTTTGGCACCAAAAACCGGAGCTGATATTTGAAGTCCAATTGTATATCTGAAATCAGGAACATCATGCACAATGGATCGATTCTAGGTTATTGAAAATCGCTCAGACAGGAGGAAACGGGACTAACCCGAAAGGGACCCGCTAAAATGAAGATCGCCAGCCACTTTCTCCCCGGGATAAGGCATCAAAAAGCCATTGAGTTTCTCGAAACACTCTTTGATGCCTTCCTTAACTTTCTTAACTTCCTCTCGCTGTCTCCCGGAAGTCTAACATCGTCAAATGCCCCAACCATGAATGATAAAAAAAAATAATGACGTCTAATGACAGAACGACAGACTTGGAGTTTTTCCTTTAGGAACGCCTGCCCTCCCACGCTCCCATAGGGAAACTCGTGATGGTTCCTCCAATCCCTCACGAGGAAGAGGAAGTTCTGGAAGGGTTTGTCGTCGCTTGCCTCGAGGCATAGTCGGCCGTACCCAGTGAAGAACTAGAATCGAGAACGTTCGTCGTGTTCATCATTTACATCATGCTCAGCAAGTTCATCGCGTCCGTCGTTTGGCCCATCCCTCCAAGACTTTTGTTGGTCAAGCCGCGTCTTTTTACAATGGTCGTTTCTCTTCCCCGTCGCAAACTTCGCTGTTTCCCGCGATCCATTCGCAATCGACCTCTTCCTCGACACGAAGCCAGGTTATAATATGGTCCATGATAAACCAATGGCCTGGAAAGGCCACAGGCATAGCATGGACGGTTCACTTCATGAAATTTCTTAACACAATCGTTCGATTCAGCGAAAACTACTAGATCAGTTCCGTCTTGTTAGGTTATCGATGAAATTCCTTCATCTCGGCATCGTCTCTGTTTCCGCTTCGAAAGTTCTAACCGGAGAAGACAGACTTGAAAGTTTCATGTTAGCGAATGTGTATTTATCTGTCCCTATCCAGTTTCATTTTCGATCTCTCTCATCGGGCATTCTCGTCTGGTTCCTCTCAAAGGGATTTTTAAATCCCTCGAAAGATTCGATCAAGAGAATCCATGATTACTCTCGTCGTTTTCCTTTCGTTGGGCGGAAATTGCACCGGAAAAAAAAACGAATATTAACAATAGAATGATCGCAAGTCGCACGTGCCGTGTGTATGCGTTAGCACTTTGAAATGAGCAGGAATCTCCTATTGAAAACAATTTTTTTCGCTTCCAGGAATTGGAAAGACATTCAAGTGAAGTTGAAACTAAAATAAAAAGTAATTATAATAAAAAAATTATTCATTGAAACCCTTTCCAGGATCACGATAATCACGAGAAGACATCACCAGAACGAAAGGGAGATTTCAAGCTAAAGAATCCCTTGCGACGAGATGAGCCATGCCCTAGCGTCCTCACCCTGTAACCCTGCGACAATCATTTAATAATCGTCATCGTTAAGCATGAATGTGTGAGTCTGTGATGGATCAGTCATGTAAAAGAGTTTCATATATGAAGTCTCTATACCGCAGTCAACTTGTATCATGGAACATTCAACGTGACAAAGAACCTTTCTTTCGCATGATGAAGCTACGCGTCACTGTAAGGATGCTGTTCATACAACTTTTGAAGAAAAACGTATGACAGACTGCTGCTACTTACTGTAGTCAGCTTTTCCTTAAAAATTTATTTTCCCATTGCAGGGATTTTCGACGCTTTACTTTATTCCTCGTGTCCTGAGGATTGAGAAATCCTATGATCTCACAGGTGCTCAGAACTACCTGGAGGTGATGAAGGTCGTCCATGTTGATGTTATCCTTGAGGTTGTAGATCTGGAGGGAGCTGAGCAAGGTGCTGAGGGCGAAGACTGTGACGCTGTGGGCGAGGGACTCCTCGCAGTCGAAGGTCCCTTCCGTGTCCATCAGGAGGACGCATGCCTACAACGGGACTCAATGAATGTCAAAACATTAATGGACAGTCAACATGCTTTGGGGATATTTTCGGATTGTGCTAGAAAATGCCAACTCGAATTTAAGTAGCAGCTAGTAAAGATACTGGTCATGCAATTGTAAAATTGCGGGTATCTTTCAAAGGGTATCTTCCGATGTATTGCTGCAAACCGTGTTATTATACCTACAGGGAATGAAAAGGTATGCTTAGTTGAATACACGAGGGAGAGAGTAGAATATTCAAGCGCTGAAATTTTGCTAGTATATCTGCCTGAATTGTATGGTTGGTAGCCCAATATAAATGTCATGCGAAGGAGTGCGATTTAAAAGTAGACAGGTTGAAATACCTCGTAGATATTTTTTATTGGAAAAAGAATCGGTGAAAAAAAAGGGGCGTCCATTTTTGCCCTTCACTGCGTGAAGTTTCTGCTACGAGACCTCACGAGGCATGAGTGTGTTTTCCCACGCTTAACTTTTTGAATTCCTCTTGAATTCCTCCAGGAGTTGAAGAATGTTTTGCGGGATTCGATCAGGATTCATCTAGGCGTTAGGCGCTATATCGCATGGCCAGCAATTTCACCCGCTATCCCAAAAATCCGGGTTGTCGATTTCTTGGCCCTCTCGGAATATGTGTACATTTCTAACCTTGCACTTCCTGATCATGACATCTCATTAGAAGTTATTTTCCTGAGGTTAAAAGGATTACTTGTAGTTTGTTCACATTTATTATTTGCCTTAGTATTAGTGATTGCATCCCGAAACGGCAGCTCAGCGTCATATCGACGTGGACTTGAGCGATGGGGTGAAAGAGTTGCAGTGTGCCTCGTAGCTTGTAACGCTCTTGGCAATGTCGAAGGGACGCAGATCTGGCATGAGATGTTAGTGATGGGGCTACCAATGCTGGACTGTAAAGGTATATGTGGTATCTTTAAACCAACTAGTAGATCTACATAAGCATACGTAGAAACTACTTTTAATGAGGTCGCGTCACCTCGAAAGGAATGGTTGTGGTGTTTATACACAAAATGGCTTTCTGTGAAATTCTTGATAGGTCTTCGTATATCAGACACGGAGGCATGCGGATCTGAACCGAAGGTTATAGAACTCACCTCTTGCCCATTGGGGAGCCTCAATGTAAAAATGTCATCCCAGATATGAATCCCCGTCGTTACCCTCTTGGCACTCATTTTCCATGCGAACCCCGTGACCGGAATGTCTTCATCGTCTAGCCAATCTTCAGACCCCTGAAACAAAGAGTCGATATATGGAGGCAGGAGAACAACCGAAGTGGCAGGTAAGCCGGACAATAACGGGACTGCAGAACTCACTTGAGCCCTGAGGTATCTCAGGAAGAGACTCAAGAGGAAGGACTTCCCCCTCCTCGCCCCCCCGGCTATGGACAACACTGCCACCGGTTTGTCTCTGCAGTCAGCCTGCAGCAACAGCCGTCGCAGTCGATCCTCCTTCAGCAGGTATGAGTCCTTCCCCCCTTCGAATTCCTTGTGCTCCACGACGCAAATGGCCTTTTCACATCCCGCGTCCTCGTCCATATCTTGATGGGGACTCGGAGATTCGTGAACCGTTCTCAGATTCAGTCATTGCTCCGTACGTTTCCGGCTGATGGCTATCTCTGGCCACCAGGAAATCCCTCTCGTTTCATAAAAGGAAAAGTCCTGTTTTTGCTCATATTCCACTGCTTGAGAAAAATTTAATTTCCGATTGTCCCGGACCGAAGCACCTTATCTTTCTCAAATCGCAAGTTTCGGATTTAAGATGACATATTAGCCGATATTTGAGGGCAATCAGCATTTCATAATTGGCTTCACACTGGCATGCACTATGGGAACTCAACAGCTTCGCTAAAGGTGATCATGGGAAACTGAATTTATTACATAATTCATGAATTTATTTCTTTTATATCTAACTACAGTGAGTAATGTACTTCCTTCCTCCCTACACCCTGGTAAACACACTCTTGTACTGAAAATAGTCCAGATTGTCGTACAGATTAGTTCGGTTCACTGCATGCTTTTCTTAACAAATGTCTTTGTACTTGTGATCCCAAACCAGGGAGCATTTAAGCCGAAGGAAGTTCAACATTTTTTCAGTACTGTCACTGTAGGAAAATAAATGCGGAATTTATTGTCCTGTAATTCGAAAAGATAAGGTGAATTCCAAAGAACTTTTGTATTGTAGAGTTTTTTTTATCCGGATCGCGTTACGTGGCGAACAGGGTCGTGCGACGCGCCCTTTACACAGCCGCTTTCCAAGTTCGAAAAGGGCGCGGAAATACACTAGCAGAAAAGATCAACTTAATGAAAGCGCCTTGTTTGCAGTGCTTACCTTGTTGTGATGCACAGTTGTCGAGACGAAGCTGATGGAGAAGAAAGAAAGCTGGTTATCTCGTTGGCTCCTATCTAGTTTTATTCCAGCGTCCTCCTATCGGCCATTTTTTTCCTCCATGCATCTTTTGCCCATGATAAATTGACTGTGGCATTTCCGGTGTTAATGCGTTCTCACTTATTCTTTCATTGATTCCAAATGGAGTCGAAGAGGCCGTCATTCAAGGGTATTGCCAGGTCTCGTCAGAGAGCACACATATCCTTCAAAGTAGTTAATTGCCCCCCTTTCTATGACCTGCATACCTCGAACTCCTATAACAAGCCTTGCTTCAACCAGTGGCAATTGACTAGCGAAATCCATTTTATTGATTCTTGCGATTCCCTCCTTTGCATCCGAAGCTGCAGCAGAGCAGTGAAAACCGCATTGAGGTTCGTATAGACACAGGAAAAGAAGTAGAAGAGAACTATTTATGATTCCATCGTATTGGGTTTTAATCCCATGTTGAAAGACCCCAGAAAGAGACGCAAGGGATGCAGTACACTCTACGGTACCCCCGGCTCGGCCGAGTGAGACTCTGTGGCGAGAGCCGAAAAATGGCGTGCAAATAGGTGCTCACTCGAAGGCTCTTCAAGGTGCATGGAAGTCGTCAGCGTTCGATGTTTGTCCATTGTGTGCTTCCAACATAGGCCCAACGTGGGGACACGTTGGTCGCTAACGCCTCACGTTAGGCGTGACAGAGCAAAAAACGCATTGAGGACCAACTCTGCTGTATCTTGCGAAATTTCGATGGTTGCTGGATACTGCACCTTTCAGTTTCGACGCACAAAAGTCTTTGCTAATGCTGACGTTTACTCTGACTAGCAAACCAAGATCATGATCCGAAAAGCATTAGTTGACTGAAACTGAAACACTTCCTTCTCCATGTTTCATCGTAATAGTCAAATAATTTGGGAAATATTCTTACCCAGGCCTTTTGTTGCACATATCAGGCCAATCAGTGACTATTTACGAGTAGAATTTGCCTTTATTGCTGAATAGAGTTATGCCTTGTGGCACCCTTGTTGGGGGTGGTGAGCACATTCTCAAATGGCAGATTGCCCACACAGCACTTCAATCGACACTTCATAGATTTCCCTGTTAAGGGATTTTACTTGCACTATCAGAGTTTGAAGTGTTCATCTCCTGAAGAGCCCTCCTTGCATTGTTCCTAGACGCCTTCATACTTGTGAACTATAGCATCAGATCATCCGCAGTTCCCTTCTGCTTCGAAAAAACACACAATTTGCTTTCCAATTTCTACGAGGCGAGGCGATATTTGGCTAGCTACTGCCAGGTTTCATCTCCATCCCCGGCAGCTCCCAGTAGAACCCTGATATTGGATCAAAATCGACTGCCAAGGAATATACTGTACATATCGGCCTGGTATTGGCATTCATCTTGGACCATTATTGGGATAAATACTTGGGAAAACATCGGGCCAATATTGGAGTTAATATTTCTCTAAATTCTTCATCCAGTGGAGGCATTTCTACAGTATATGCAGTACTAGTACGGCCTGTCCCGTGGATGGGCAGGAGACGTAGAACAGTACAGAGGTTGATCTTTCCCTTAATGTACTAATTGTGTTACATTTAGCAGTAGGTTCATTCATTACTGTTTCATGGCGAATCTGCGAATTCAGTCCCTCGTTCCCTCATTATGTTCTCATGAGGACATAATGAGGTTGAGGAAAAACCTATTGACCCATAAGCTTCTTAGTCAAGTATCAGCTGCAACCAAGTGTCCCTTGAAAAGTTATAGCCATAACATGTACCTCACATAACCGTGTAGTCAAGAATTTAGCATCGGGGGAGGGGCATTTTGTGCCTCCAACCCCATCCAATTAAAACTCCATTTGTTCGGTTTTCACTCGAGGTACAGACGTATGTTTTTTGTCTGCAGGCTATTCTGAAAATACACCGACCGTTTGCAAAATTTAATTGAAATCTGAGAGGGTCGTGCACAGATTGTTACCTCACTTACAGTGGCATGATCCACTTCTAAGCACATTTAATTCGCCTCTAAATGGGCATTGAACGACTTTGGCAGATGTGTTGAAAAAAAGTTGACTTGTATCTCAAAACCTCGTAACTGTCCAACGTCGATGGCATAGCCAAAGTAATAAAAAAAATTGTTTGTACTCATGAAACTGTATTTCTCCCATAGAAAACGATAGAGCGTTTATTTTGAATCACCCTATATATACTGTATTATATCTCTGAATTAGAATTACAAGGAAATACGAGATTGAAGGCAGAGAGATAAAAGAAAACGTGCGTAGCAACTGCGTGGGCGATATTGAAGCCCAGGAGTCCTTTCTTGTTTTCAGAGCCATGATTCCACTCGATTCTCACTTTGAAATATGAACGGTTTTACAATTCTCTCTGAAAATAACTCCGAGTTTGAAGGGAAGGAGAAGGAAAAGGGTGATACCTCCTTCATCTTCTCCTGGTATTTCTCGGCGAATTGTTGCCACTTTGCCCCAGTCACCCAAAAGATCTGCTGGGCTTCCTCGCGGTACTTCTCGTGTCCTTCGAGCAGCTTCTCGGTGAGGAGGTGACCGTCGGTGGCTCCGGGCCTCCCTCCATCGGCCGTGTCCTTCCCGCCGTAGAGGCGAGACATCTGGCGCTCGTAGAGCGTCACGCTTCGTTCCAGCGCGCCGTTGAGGGCAGCCTTGGCTTGAGGCTCTTGGGAGTCTCTGAAGCCTTGGTATCCCTCGCATGACATGCGCTGTGAGGACCACATGCAATGACACTTTTAAATAAACATTAAATTTTTTTAAATGGCCGTTCGTATAAACGGAGCGGACAAAGGTCTTACCAAAGGTTCTCCTTGGGACTTAAATCGGGGCTAAGAGCGGGCCATTCGAGATGGGTCACTCCTTTTTCTGAAAGGAAGGAGTTTGAGACATGGAACCTTGCTTTGTCTTGGAGGATGTAGTTTTCGCCTCCGATCCGCTCCCCAAACGCTTCCAACTGAGATCCTACGAGTTCCTGGTATTTATTCGAGATTTTGCGACCGTTGATGATCACGAGGTCATTCTTCCCGCCGTATCCGAAGGCTCCCCAAACCATCAGAGACCCGCTGCCGGAGACTCGCTGAGAGTAGAACTGCTCTTCCCGCCTGAGATCATGCCATTAATAGCGATAGCTGTGGGGACCGTCCAGATTAAATTTCTTTTCTTCTGAAAAGACCACTCTCTGCAAGTCTTTGCCCCAGGTCTGGTATTTTCGGCCCCATTCCCGACGCGCGACTTTATGATATTCCTTCAGGTTAGGCGTCTTCTTCCTTTTGGCCATTTTGACATTTTCGATGCTGGCCAACACTCGATGGATAGTCGCAGTACTTGCCTGAAGGCTGAGAGATGCTTTAATTTTCCTCACGGACTGACTAAAATCGGCATACACGCAGAGGAACCGATTTAAAGCAATTGATTTCAACCGGCTTTTTTTTTATCTCTCGCACAGATCTCCAAAAATATGCATTTGATTTTTGTTCAATTTTAAATTGAGTCTAGACACTATTCTCCAAAGCCAACACAAGAAGTTCTACGAGACCAAACAGGTTGATCAAATTCATTGGCCAATATCGACATTTGCCACCTCCGGAATACGTTGTTTCGATGCCTCATTCGAAAGTGCATGGTATGTCATTCCTAACGATACCAAATCCGAGATTGGCACTCCATTGCTTCGCTTCGCTTTCCTCACCATTGAAGAGACCAGGGTTCAGGTCAGGAAGAAGCTACTGAGGAACTGTCCGCACCTCGACACCCAGATCCACTGTGATCACCCCCATCCCCCAGGATGAAGTCAATTGGAGTTCAAGTATGCAGTGAAAGGGCAAGTTGTGACCACGAAGTTGACGGTTAATAAACCCATTCAACCTAGCTTTCCAGGGCGCACCACCCTGTAAATGTCACGAGGGTAAAACGGAAACAAAACTGAGGTCAGCTGTCCCAAAGTTGTGGATGTTTATCGCAGAATCATAGGAAGCGTCGACCGTTTCGATCAATTACGCGATCAGATCAGCTCTGGAAAGGCGTTCAATCAAGTATTGTCACATAAATTTTTCTTCCTCTTGGATATGATTATTCTCACTGCATTGGTGACGAGGAAGTTGTTGAAGCGGGACGCAGCAACACATGACCAATCGAGTTTTCGCCTTGTTTTGGCAAGGCAACTGATCTCAGGTTCCTCGTCCGGAATGAGGAGGGCCGGCCACCCCTCTACGTGGCGGATAAACGGAAAGTCCCAAAGGATGTCCGAAGGGGGATTTTGGGACAGCACATGCCTGAAAAGGGAAAGGCTTACAGGAGGTGTTGTTTGTGCGCAATGAAGGCACGAGAGAAAAGAATGCTATTTGTTCCTCTTGTAGCTCGTAGACACATGTAAGGGATCATTGAGCCTCTGAATGTTCGACTGCTTGGTGGAAGATTGTGTATGTTTAGAACAACAACGTCAGCAATGCAATGCGTTTGTGGTGACGAAAAGGACATTGGGAAGAATGATTCCCAACACAAATAATTTTTACGAATTTTTATATTTGAAGAAAGTCTGGAAATAAAATAAGTTCTCAAAATAAGATCTCTATTAGTGAAAAATGAAAATTCACTGAATTTTGTCATTTGCACATCATAAAAAATTTTCCCACGAAAGGGATAACCGGATTGGTTTTGGAAAGGAAGGACGGGACGCACGGAGCAAGAGAAGGGACAATCAACATCTTCATGGAATGTAACGTTGTGAAATCGGTTGAAGCGAAGATCGTAAAAATGCAAGGCATCAACACCGGGGAGAAAACATTACAGAATCGTTACTACCATTCCCATAGGTGGGAGGCAGGGCTTCAGAAAATGCCAATGTGAGACCAGGGGCAAAACTTCAAGATGCTCTATTAAGAAATGAGGAATTAGATGTGAGAGCTCAAGCTATTCTGGTAATACCTGCCTGAATCACCATTGAATATTGTCTGGTTGATGGTATTGTCAAATGGTCATTAATTCCTTAAGACATGGTCGCATCATTTCTAAAAAAATTGTCATATATTTTCAATGTAATTGACAGCGTAAGAAATCAAATTCGTGATTGCTGAAGGCATTCAATAGGTAGAATTTTCTTGCCTGTTGCACGCATTTTGCAAGAAAATGGCTCATCCCATGCAATAAGCAAAATGGTTGCATTTTTCATGAAAGAGGCAAAAACGTTGCGTAGTGCGCGCAATGAGCAGTTGCACGAATCACGCATAACATACAGATAGTGTGCATGCTCCTGCATCATTCACTTTGAGGATTATGTCAGATGAAGCATGAAAGACCAAGGAAAGCGAAGGGACTGCATCACTTCCTGATGATTTTTTCTTTGTCATGATATCCTGCATGATGGCGATCCTTCAGGAAGTGGCGCGAGCAGATGTGTGCTGTTTCGGTATTGAGTGGACAACTATAACTTTCATCCATTCTCTCCTTATTTCAAGAGAATTTGGAGAGGCATGGAATTCCAACTTCTCAATTTCGCTGTTACGATAGAAAGCCCCACAACTAGAAACCGCTCAGGTTTTTCCAATCCGTTTACCCATGATTCAAACTAATAGCCCTGATACGTGCAGTCATTCCTGCCCTACGAAAGGCTAAGGATGCCAATGAAAGGAAATAGTGAGAAGCTCATAATGCCTACGAGAAAATATCAATATATGAGAAAAACCATGGTAGGGGAGCTAGGAAAACAACAGAGCGCTGTGTACCTTAGGACCGCGAGGAAGGAGAGAGGTATTGTCCTGCAACGGCTCCCTATACGAGCATGGGCATCCTTGTGACGTCACACTGCACCCGCGCATGAACACGACCTCTTTAATGTCATGAGTTGCTCTTACCCCATTCCAGGAAATAAATAGTAAAACAATAATGCCTCCCGCACCATCAGGCGTCGACCTCGACTCTCTCCTGCGAATAAGAGCCATCTGCGTTTCTTCCTCGAGGTAACTGGATCTTCTAGTCTCCTCATGCAGGAAAAAACTCTCGCCTGGTAAAGACTCTCGAAGCTTTCCGCCTGACGACAGAAGCATGTAACTTTACTTCTGCATGTTCCATTAAAGGCCACGGTAATGCAATGCACGAATCAGTACGTCTCAGTTTTTTATATGTGTTTAAGGGTGGCTGCAATGTACTGATATTTTCCTTCAAATGAAGCGATCCTATCAACCATATTCTTCGCCAAAAAAGTCACACCAAGAAGGAGTTGAGCGATCTTGATAAAATTTCGTTATCATACTCGTATTAGGGCGTCATAAAATCGATGCCAGTTTCAAGGTCGTAGGTTGAATATTCGCAGAGAAACTTTTCAAACATCCCAATTGAAAGGGGGTCGGAAGGGTCGCACTTATCGCCCACAAAGAACATCTAGAATGAGTTTAGTACTGAAAAGCGAAAAAGGAATTTCTTCTGACGTTTAGAACAATGGAGCAAAGTTTAAAGGTCATAGGGTGAAGCGATGCAGGGAGAACTTGCCAAGCTAGCTGAATGCCATTAGGGATGGGGAATAGGGGGCTTACTCTGATCAGGCCAATTTCCTTTTATGTTTCCCTCCGTCCCCTCTGCTTTGCTTCAATTGTTTATTTTTCGTCTTTAAAGCCATGCAAGGACGACGTTCACAAAGGCAGTTCCGCCAAATTCACCAGTTCGGTTGAGGTCAGTTAGTTGGCTTGATGGTGGCTTGGGACGGGCCAAAGGACTTCTTTGAGGACTGTGTACTGGCATGCAACCCAGCTGGGATTGCGGTCTAAACGACCTGTCTGACTAACTGTCCCCATAACCAGTACCTTCCGTGAACAAGGGTAGAAGCAATTCGGTCTCGGTGAATCTACATCCGCAAATACCGGCCATCCCTGTGCGTCGGGATGTGAGGGCGGCCTGATTCTCGCTGCCGTTCGTGGTCTGATCCTTTCTGATACCGAGTCCATCAACCCCGTACTGTAGTCACTCTTACACTTAGCCGATGCGCAACCTGATACGTGCTATGACCGACCTCCATCATGCCAACTAACCGATCTCAATAGAACTGGCGAAGTTGGCGAAACTGCCTCAGTGGACGTCATCTTGGCATGGCTTTAAAGACGAAAAAGAAACGATTGAAGCAAAGCTGTGTGAATGGAGGGAAGCAGGAAAAGAAAATGGCTTAATCTGTGTAGTCTCCCTTTTTCCCATCCCACGTGGCGTTCAGCTGGCTTGGCAAGTTTTCGCTGCATCGCTTGATTCTATGACCTTTACACTTTGCTCCATTGTTCTAAACATCAGTAGAAGTTCCTGTTTCGCTTTTCATTACTAAAATTCTTCTAGATGTTCTTTGTGGGCGATAAGTACGGCCCTTCCGACCCCATTTAAATTGGTATGTTTGACAAGTTTTGTCTGCAAATATTCAACTTGCGACCGTCAAACTAGCATCGATTTCGAAACGCACTAATAAGAGTATGATTATCAAAGTTCATCAAGATCGCTCAAATCATGCATGGTGTGAATTTTCTTTTGGCGGTGTATGTTGAGACAATCATTCCTTTTGTGCATCAGAATCTGAATGACATGGGAACATTACCAATTACACAAATGAACTCGTTCTTTTCCCACTATCTCATTAGTATGGTTGGGTTTATTTCCCTTAAATGCAGACGTGGTGGCTGAAGGTGAAAAAGCTGCTTAATTCTAAGAAAAACATTTATTTGTGTACAAAATTTAACCCTCTACATGCGACTGGAAAGAGTTAATATTTCAAGGAAGACCTTGGCATCAGAAACAATATAATACTAGCCAATATCAATTGGAATCGGGGAATCGGTTTCGTCTCAGATTTCATTTGTAAAAAAAATACGTATTCCTAGCACTATTTATTTAGTTCCAAGTCTAGCTTTTTGATCCATAGGGTGACTTTTCCCCTCGTTTGTTATAACTTTGAGGAACAAGATCTTCACAACCATTTGTGTTTCAGCGATGAAATTAGAAATTTTCCAACAACCCAGTGAGATCATGATTATTGCATTTTCTGAATTAAATCCCTGCTGAAGACACACTCACTACTTCGATCACTTGAACTTTCATAGATGGTAGGCATCTGCTGATTCAAAAGTGTATTAACAGAATGTAGAACTTGAGTTTTTCTTGTCATTTGAAGCTCAGATAAAGACGTTTTCATGGTATTTTTTTGCAATTATATTTTTGGATTTTCAAACCAAGTTCAAAGGTCAAAATTTTCGTCTTTAAACATCAGTGTAAGTTTTAGCTGAAGTGTTATTCTTCTCATAGTTTCAAAATGTTCTCTTAATTTCGACAGAATTACCACCATAATCAAGGTTCTACCTTAAGTACCTTTTGAGTTACAGTTGCATTTACAAAATCAAATGTTATTAGGTGACTTTAAACTTTAAACACTCTATTGCTTTAGACCTTCTGGCCTGATGTGGCTGAAACGCGGCATTTCCGGCTTTCATGGCATAATAAGCCTACTTGCCACCTTCCATCGAAATCAAAGATGGTCAGGTGTTACCCATTGGTTGAATTTCCATGAAAACACCCAGGAGCTATGAATTTTCTTTAAATATTTAAGAGAAGATCGAGTGAAACCCCCCAAGTCAATCGGTATGGAACGCTCCACATCAAACGATCCCATTTTGGAGCCCCTAATTCGTGCTGGATTGCTGGAAAGGACCCACACAGTGTAGTGGCAAGATGTAGGAGACAGTTGCTTTTCTGGATCTTTCGACGATTCTAAGTCAGCCGCTCCACTTCGGACAAGCACTTAAAGATGCACAAGAATCGCCAAGAGTCCCCTTGCCCTGAATAATCATCTCATGATTGTCGATTCTAGTTTTGTGAATGGGTTCTTGAAAATATCGAAGGCGATCCGGATTGGCAACGGGCATCGGTTTTCTTGGAAGAAGCGGTCTTCTGCTCGAATGGCAACGTCATCCGACACGACAGCCACCATATGCGGAAAGAAAATCCCATGCGGAAAGAAAGCACCAATGCGGAAAGAAAACTCCATGTCGAAGAGGAAAACCCTTTCGGCGTCCTTCCGTGACTGTTTGCTTGGGGAATGAAAGGATGATAGGATAGCTCATGGGAAACAGTAAACACTGGAGGAAAGGCTTCTGAGAAAATATATGTATGGGTGTGCGAAACATTCTGGGTATGGCGTAAACATTTTTTCTGGGAAGCCATACGTCCTACCCACTTGATAGGTTAAATAAAATCCCTTCTGTGCAATCTCTCCCAGTGAGCGTAACGCCCGGTGCGGAGAGATGTGAGTTCGTCCTGTGACGCCGTGCAGTGAAACTCCAGTGAATCGCGGTAATCCGGATTCTTTTTCAACATAGTATTCTCAACATAGGATAAGAGTAGGAACTGATCAGCTAACCCTTTGTGAAATCCTCCCATCCCTTCCAGCCGATATACTGCAAGAATGCAGAGGAAGTTAGAATTTCATAAATCCAAGGAGAGAATTCCTGTTCGGGGGGATGGATGACAAATTAAGATTTAACTACATTTTCATTTTTGCTACTCTCTGTTGCAAATTTTGAAAAGTTGTGAGTCAAAGTTTTACTGCTGTAAGCGAGGCTTTGGAACAACTGAGATCAAGATATGCGATTTATGCATGAGACACACGTACTTTCTAGGCCAAGGCGAGAATAATGCGTCTTGACTCTCCAGCTGGAGCCATTCCTTCCCTCAGATTTTTGCAAGGTTCTCATAGCTGCATCCTTCGAGAAGGCTAAAGATATACGAGTAGATGCTAATGCTTCTTTCATTCATACTAACTAAGGACATAAGTGATCATCATCTTGGTTAAAAAATATTGCCAGTCATGTTTTCAAATTCAGATGGGATTTATTTTCCGAATTTCCTAAACTGAATAGTTCTGCTATGCTCTTCTCAGGCATTGGGACTGAATTCATCCCAATTCCAAAGTGTCCAGAAGTCTCTATTCCGATAGATTTCGCTGCCAGGATGAAGTTGGGCTATTTCGTCATTGCCGTGTTGGTCTTCGGATCTGTTGCTGCTCAGTTTAACTATGAAAACATCGAAAAAATTGTGTCGAAGTGAGTCAAACATTACATATTGGAGAAATTGCAAGCGTTGCACATCGGTCATGGATGGGTGTCGTGTAGATTGTGGAAGGACGAATCGATGGAGTTTCTGGGTCACCGATGTGAATACTACAGGTCCCCCAGCTTCAACAGATGGAAACTGTATCACAAGGCGACAGTGATGTGTCCCGGCTGGACCACCATCATCGGACAAGGTCTACTGCCACACCCAGTATCTCTTTCCTCTTCCGCCTCCGCGGTTTACATTTTTAACGGTAGACGCATTCGTGTTGTATTTTCCAGCTAAGAAGAAGAGTCGAATAGGATCTTTGATCCACGCCAAGAAGGACTTCGTGGAGAAGGCTCTAAGAGCAGGTTAGGAATGACTAAACAGTCTTTCAAGCTTTGATGATTAGTTTTGATCTGGAATGCTTCTTTGGTCTCTTGGGAATCGATGACCTAGGACTGGTGACAGCAGAGGAGGTGCAACCATTTCTTCATAAATAAAAGAGGAGGCGAAACGATTTTTCTATTCAGTTTTTTTTTGGCATGCATTGGGTGGCTTTGGTTTCGGTCTACTTTTCATTCGTCCCTTTTCTTCTCTAGCTATATCATTTAATTTTTGAACGCCATCTTTTTTTCACTCCCTTTGGAATTGTATTCCTGAATCTGTTATTATTCGATGAAGTTATTATTCCATGCATACGACTAATGAAGTTTTTTCTGGATGTACTGCCTGTTCTAACAAGACAAACTCGGGGGGTTTGAGGCAAGCAAGCATCACATATAACATTTTCTACTTAAATACGTACAGGGTGGCGAGCTTCAGAGTAGCCCGTACCCGTGCAGTCGGTTATTAAGTCGTGAACTCTCAGAACAGTCGTTATTGGGCCCCAGAAAAAATCGTACATTATCCACGAGCAACTCCTCCACGATCAGAAGGAGAGAGTTTTGTGTGCCTTGTCTGGTCATCGAATAGTCGGGCCCATTTTCTTTCGCAACACAATCAACACCGATGAATACCTGCGATTACTGGATGAATTTCCTGTCCAGCTGACAAGGGACGAGGGTCTGGATTGCTTTTTCCAGCAAGACGGTGCTTCGTCCCAAGCATCTCGAAGAGCTCACTTGCATGCGTATTTCGGTGAAGATCGAGTGGTAAGCATTGGTCTGTGGCTTGCACGATCTCCGGACCTGTCTTCCTGCGATTTTACCTGTGGAGAGCATTGAAGCAAAAGGGTTATTATGACAACCCTCACCCACTTTTCGTGCTGGAAGCAAACATCCAAGCATAAATTGTAACCATTCAAGAGAAGGAAATCAAGTCCGTGTCTGGATATTGGGGGAAGGCACTTCTAGCATTTCCTATAGGTGAGTGATACGGGCTACTTTTAAGTGCACCACCGTGTACAACTGGTGGCAGGCACAACTGCTGGTAAAACTGCTGCAAACCGGAGGAAACGAAGTGCTCAGTTGTCGTGGAAGGAGTCACCATGATCTAGAGAGACTACCACATCAGAAGCACCTGAACCTGTTCAATGAACAATTCAATGTTATTGCCAATGTCCCATTAAAGTCCTAGGGAACAGTCTATTGACTGTTGAAACGGTAAAAATTCAAAGCAATGAAAAATAGCTCAAATTATGAGTTCCCTGAACTACGTGAATCTTATATTTCCATTGAAAGGGTTCAATAAATCTTTATTTTTTAGGAATCATCCGATATTCAATAAACGTTTTTGATACGTTCTTTTCATCACTTGAATTGCATTCGGTCTAAGTAGAACCCTATTCACGTGGCTGGGGTGAGAATCCATAATGTGATCGATGAGTAGGATCGAAGGTACTTTCTTACACTGGATGGGATAGTCTGGCAGAGAAGCGTGGGAAATTTAGTCATTGAACATAAACTCTCATCCTCCATGCAGGTATCTTATTTTCAGAAGTGAGACATTCCCTCCACCGAAATCCCTTTTTATGAGTGACTTGATTCTGAATGCTGAAATTATTTTCAATGAAGTCACCTTGAAGAACCATCCTCCCTCTATCGTTCGAGCCGGAGTTCTACGGAGACTCCTTGGATTGGGTTACCTGCAATGACGGATTTGTTCAAGAACTTTAGTATCTTCCGCTCTGGTTAATAGGGAGAAAGATCGGCTACATTGTGGATGGTATCAGGGACTAATTCCATCTGTATCAGGAATTGACCCGTTTTAACGACTACATTGGCGCCATCTATCTTCGGTTGTGCTATCCTTTTTTCTTTCAGCCGATGTCAGATGGATACCAATGATATGGTTGAGGAAAATTACATAAACGTTCAACGAATGTCCTTCAAATGCAGATGGTATCGTGATTAAAAGGCACCTTAACTGAGCACCAAAAAGGTGCTGAATCCGGTACACTGGATGTCGCAAGACCTCTTTGATGACATGTTAAACCTCCTCGAAAGCGATTATGCGCTACTTGCGCAAAGCCATCTATCTAATGAAACCTACTGCGGTCCATGGTGGTGGTGATCGAAGTCAGTGGTTCGTGGCAAGCGCGCGCATACGACAGACGCGTGCGCTCAGCGCGATCGCGTGTGCTCTCCCCATAGAGTCCTCTGTCTGCCTCTGGGTGAGCGTCTCCCTCTATCTGGTTTCCCTTTTTTTTCCCAGCTGTTGCGACTATTGGATCTTTTCTGAAAAACGTAATAGCCCCGGGGATGGGGGAAGAGTTCGATGACGTAGGAGGAAGAAAAGAAAATGATGGGGGGCGTAGGAACCGATTCCAGGGTCTCCTGATTTCCGGTCGCGTGCGCTACCACTACACCACCGAACCCACGGCTTTCTCTCGTTATGCTCCATGCCCTACCTAACATAACAAAGGAAGAGAGAGGCATTCTACGCTCACCTCCCTCTCTCTACTTTGAGGGGTCCGATATGGACTTTTCCGCAGGGACGTGTAAGACCTGCGTATTACATTTGGAGTCCTCTTTTATCTCTGGAGGATCACTTCCTCCCCAGTATGATATCACCGCCCGTATATTTATTGGGACTCCGACCACTTTTATCAATCAAAACCTCATCATCTTATTCCTCACAAGAAAAGTGACTCCCGAGGGAGAAAATGGGGGGATCCCACCTGTATGGCACAGGACCGCTTACTCTTGGATCGGAAAGACGACGTCGGCGGCGTCGTAACCATCCCGTTTCTCCATCTCCAATTTCATGAGTGGGTCTGAAGTTCCAGGTCTGCCTTTGCCGTGATTGCTGGGCCTACGAAGGTGATAACGTTACGCCGCCCTTCCATTATCACTGTCGACCTAATTTACACCCGGCGTGAGGCACGAAGTCAAACGAACTAAAGTTCGTTTGACGAAGTGAACGTTCAAAGGCAAACCTAGACGGGTTGAGGTGTTGGCGGGTCTTGGCAGGGCATGCTTCCGTATTCGGTAGGACTGCTGCAATGATCCCGAAGTACCTACTCCTTCACTCCGCCAGTGCGCACCACAAGCCATCTTTTAACTTCTCTTCGTGAGTGAATCTCGGCATTTTGCTGATCTATTCCCAATCGCTCCTTCCTGCCATTAGCCTAAAATGAAGTATTGCATCCATGATCCCACGTACTTTCGTATTTTTACACGGGCTACCTACTAGTATATATGAACCCTGCCATCATCGACACATGATTATCTTCGGCACTCGATCGGTGAATGGAGCGAAGGAGGCGAATGCGAATGGAGTTGGAAAAAAAGATAGCACCCCTGTTTCATCATGGATGCTAAAAATCCCAGGACTTCCGGCAGCAGGGGAGTGACGGTGAGCGATTCCCCTGTACCCTTGCGATTATACCGGAAACTCTCGTTTCCTCGCTCTTCGAAGAGATGGTGAGACGAGAACAAATCCACGTTTCTGCGTGAAAGTTGCATCCCATCACTTTCTTGTGGCCGATTTGGAAATTTAATGTTGAAAAGGCACATCACGAAGGAAGAGTTCTATCGATACTCCAAGTTCATATCTATGAGCGTTTGGCATGCAGAGCTGTCACAAACACACGCACAGAAACAAAAAAATAATCAATTGTCGCTCGGCATAGCTCGCGGCCAGAATCGCACACGCTATAGGTTTATATTGGGAAAGCTTGTTAGCTCGAGTGCGTTTTTTCGCTCGTCGATATCTGTTTGATGGTGCCTGTCATGTCGATAAGCCACTTCTATTTCCCTTTGCGGAATTGAAACGTTTTCCCGAAAAATGGGAAAACAGGGCTTCAGGGAGTTCGGTTAGTTGGCATGATGGTGGTAGGTCGGCATGTATCAGGTTGCGCATCGACTAAGTGTAAGAGTGACTACATTACAGGGTTGGTGGACTCGGTATCAAAATGGGGCAAACCGCGAACGGCAGCGAGAATCTGGCCGCCCTCGCATCCCGACGCACAGGGATGACCGGTATTTGAGGATGTAGATTCTCCGAGACCGAATTGCTTCTACCCGAATTCACAAAACGACCTTGACCGAACTAGTGAAAATGGCGACACTGCCTTTGTGAACGTCGTTCTTGCATGGCTTTAAAGACGAAAAATAAACAATTGAAGCAAAGCAGAGTGGACGGAGGGAAGCATAAAAGGAAACTGGCCTGATCAGTGTAAGCGCCCTATTCCCCATCCATAGTGGCGTTCAGTTAGCTTGGCAAATTTTCTCTGCATCACTTCATCCTATGACCTTTAAACTTTCTCCATTGTTCTAAACGTCAGTAGAAGTTCCTTTTTCGCTTTTCATTACTAAACTCATTCTAGATGTTCTTTGTTGGCGATAAGTACGACCCTTCCGACCCCATTTAAATTGGTATGTTTGAAAAGTTTCTCTGCGAATGTTCAACCTACGACCTTGAAACTAGCATTGACTTTATGACGCACTAATAAGAGTATGATGACCAAATTTTTTACTTTCTTTTGGCGACGTGTGCATGTTGAGACAGTCTTTCCTTTTGGGCAACATAATTTGAATGACATTATAACGTCACCAATTGCATAAATGAACTCGAATTTTTTTCCCACTATCCCATTAGCCTGCTTGGGTTTACTCTCCATAAAGGCATAAATGGTGGCTAAAGGAGGAAAAAGTTGCCTAATTCTACGGAAAACATTTATTTGTGCACGCAATTTTTAACATTCTGCATACAACTGGAAATACTTAATACTCCAAGCCCTTCATTGAAATCTGTAACACATGGAATAATGAGAGCACAATGGGCTTTTCGCAGCAATCCAATCTTGCCGATATCAATCGGAATCGGTTTCGTCTTAACTTTCATCAGTAAAAAAAAATGCTTATTTCTGGCAATATTTAGTTCCAAGTCTAGCTTTTTGATCCATAGGGTGACTTTTCCCCTCGTTTCTTATAATTTTGAGGAAAAATATGTTCACAACCATTTGCGCTTGAGCGATGAAATTAGGAATTTTCCAACAAACCAGTGAGATCATGATGCATGCACTTTCTAAATTAAATCCCTGCTGATGACACACTCACTACTAGGCACTCAATAGGTAGGCATCTGCTGCTTCAAAGGCGTATTAACAGAATATATAGCATATGTTTTTCTTGTCATTTGAAATTGGATGAAGCCGTTTTCATGGAATTTTTACATTTTTATTTTTTAAACTTCAAACCAAGTTCAACGGTCAAAATTTTCGCCGATCAACATCAGCGTAAGCTTTATCTCAAGGGTTATTCTTTTTATAGTTTTAAAATTTCCTCTTAAATTCGACAGAATCGTCACCATAATCAAGGTTCAAGTTTAAGATCTTCAGTTACAGTTGCATTTACAATATCAAATGTTATAAGGTGACTTTCAACTTTGAACACTCTATAGCATTAGACCACTGGCCCGATGTGGCTAAAATGCGGCATTTCCGGCTTTCATGGCATAATAAGCCTACTTATATATTTTATATTTTATAAGGTATATAATTCTATTCATATCATTATTCTATTTATATTATTTATATATCATATTATTTTATTTATGAGATATATAAGACATATATATATATTTCTTGCCACATTCCTTCCAAATCGAAGATTGTCAGGTGTTACCCATTGGTTCAATTTCCATGGAAACACCCATAAGCTATGAATTTTCATCAAATATTTAAGAGAAGATCGAGTGAAACCCCCCAAGTCAATCGGTATGGAACGCTCCACATCAAACGATCCCATATTGGAGCTCCTAATTCGTGCTTGATTGTTGGAAGGGACCCACACAGTGTAGTGGCAAAGATGTAGGAGACAGTTGCTTTGTGGATTCTTCCACGATTCTAAGCCAGCCGCTCCACTTCGGACAAGCACTTAATGATGCACAAGAATCGACAAGAGCCACCTTTACCTGAATGACCATCTCATGATTGTCGATTCTAGTTTTGTGAATGGGTTCTTGAAAATATCGAAAGCGATCCGGACTGGCATCGGACATCGGTTTTCGCGGAAGAAGCGGTCTTCAGCTCGAATGGTAACGTCATCCGACACGACAGCCACCATACGCGGAAAGAAAACCCCATGCGGAAAGAAAGCACCAATGCGGAAAGAAAACTCCATGTCGAAGAGGAAAACCCTTTCGGCGTCCTTCCGTGATTGTTTGTTTGGGGAATGAAAGGATAACAGGATAGCATATGGTTAACAGTAAACACTGGAGGAAAGGCTTCTGAGAAAATATGTGTAGGGGTGTTCCAAACAATATGGGTATGGCGCAAACATTACTTCTGGGAAGCCATACGTCCTACCCACTTGAGAGGATAAATAAATTCCCCTTTGTGCAATCTTTCCCAGTGAGCGTAACTCCCGGTGCGGAGCGATGTGAGTACGTCATCTGACGCCGTGCAGTGAAACTCCAGTGAATCACGGTATTCCGAATTCTTTTTCAACGTTATGTTCTCAACATAGGATAAGAGTAGGAACTGATAAGATAACTCTTTGTGAATTCCTCCCACCCTTCCAGCCGAAATACTCCAAGAATGCAGAGGAAGTTAGAATTTCATAAATCCAAGGAGGGAATCCCTGTTCTTGGGGGTAATGATGACAAATTAAGACTTAACTACATTTACATATTTTCTACTCTTTGCGGCAAATTTGGAAAAGTTGTGAGTCAAAGTTTTACCGCTGTAAGCGAAGCTCTGGAACAACTGAGATCAATATAAGCGATTTAAGCATAAGACGCACGTACTTTCTGCGGTAAATACGAGAATAATACGTCTTGACTCTCCAGCTGGAGTCATTCCTTCCCTCAGATTTTTCTAAGGTTCTCATAGCTGCATCCTTCGAGAAGGCTAAAGATATACGAGTAGATGCTAATGCTTCTTTCATTCATACTAACTAAGGACATAAGTGATCATCATCTTGGTTTTAAAAACATATTGCTAGTATTTTTTCAAATTCAGATGGGATTTATTTTCCGAATTTCCTAAAGTGAATAGTTCTGCTATGCTCTTCTCAGGCATTGGGACTGAATTCATCCCAATTCCAAAGTGTCCAGAAGTCTCTATTCCGATAGATTTCGCTACCAGGATGAAGTTGGGTTATTTCGTCATTGCCGTGTTGGTCTTCGGATCTGTTGCTGCTCAGGATAGCTATCAATACTTCGTCGAAAAAATTGCGTCGCAGTGAGTCAAACATTCGATATTGGAGGAATTGCAAACGTTGCACATCGGTTATGGATGGTTGTCGTGTAGATTGTGGAAGGACGAATCGATGGAGTTCCTGGGTCATCGGTGCGAATACTCCAGGGCCCCCAGCTTATACAAATGGAAACTGTATCACAAGACGTCAGTAATGTGTCCCGGCTGGACCACCATCATCGGGCAAGGTCTACTGCCACACCCAGTATCTCTCTCCTCTTCCGTTTCCGTGGTTTACATTTTTAACGGTAGACGCATTCGTGTTGTATTTTCCAGCTAAGACGAAGAGTCGAATGGGATCTTTGATCCACGCCAAGAAGGACTTCGTGGAGAAGGCTCTAAGAGCAGGTTAGGAATGACTAAACAGTCTTTCAAGTTTTGATTAGTTTTGATCTAGAATGTTTCTTTGATTTCTTGGGAATCGATGACCTAGGACTGGTGACAGCAGAGGAGGTGCAACCATTTCTTCATAAATAAAAGAGGAGGTGAAACGATTTTTGTATTCAGTTTATTTTTAGTTTGCATTAGGTGGCTTTGGTTTCCGTCAGCTTTTCATTCGTCCTTTTTCTTCTCTAGCTAAATCATTTAATTTTTGAACGCCCTCTTTTTTTCACTCCCTTTGGAATTGTATTCCTGAATCTGTTATTATTCGATGAAGTTATTATTTCATGAATACGACTAATGAAGTTATTTTCCCGATGAACTGCCTGTTCTAACAAAACAAACTCGGGGGTTTGAGGTAAGCAAGCATCACGTACTACATTTTCTTCTTAAATACGTACAGGTTTGCGAGCTTCAGAGTAGCTCGTACTCGTGCAGTCAGTTATTAAGTCGTGAACTCTCAGAAAAGTCGTTTCTGGGCCCCAGAAAACCCGTACATTATCAACGAGGAACCCCTCCACGATTAGAAGGTGGGAGTTTCGTGTGCCTTGTCTGGTCATCGAATAGTCTGGCCCATTTTCTTTCGCAACACAATCAACACCGATGAATACCTGCGATTACTGGATGAATTTTATGTCCAGCTGACAAGTGTCTGGATTGCTCTTTCCAGCAAGACGGTGCTATGTCCCAAGCATCTCGAAGAGCATTGGCTCACTTGCATGCGTATTTCGGTGAAGATCGAGTGGTGGGCATGGGTCTGTGACTTGAACGATCTCCGGACCTGTCTTCCTGCGACTTTTGCCTGTGGAGAGCATTGAAGCAAATGGTTTATCATGACAACCCTCACTCACTTTTCGTGCTGGAAGCAAACATCCAAGCAGAAATTGTAATCATTGAAGAGAAAAAACTCAAGTCCGTGCCTGGAAGTTGGGGGAAGGCACTTCTAGCATTTCCTATAGGTGAGTGATACGGGCTACTTTTAAGTGCACCACCGTGTACAACTGGTGGCAGGCACAACTGCTGGTAAAACTGCTGCAAACCGGAGGAAACGAAGTGCTTTGTTGCTGTGGATGGAGTCACCATGATCTTGAGAGACTACCACCTCAGAAGCACCTGAACCCTTTCAATGAACAATTCAAGGTTATTGGCAATGTTCCATTAAAGTCCTAGGGAACGGTCTACTGACTGCTTAAACGGTGAAAATTCAAATCAATGAAAAATAGCTCAACTTATCAGTTCCCTGAACTACGTGAATTTGATATTTCCATGGAAAGAGTTCAATAATCTTATTTTAAGGAGTGAGACATTCCCTCCACCGAAATCCATTTTTATGAGAGACTTGATTCTGAATGCTGACATTATTTTCAATGAACCTTGAAGAACCATCTCTATCGTTCGAGCCGAAGTTCTACGGAGACTCCTTGGATTGGGTTACCTGCAATGACGGATTTGTTCAAGAACTTCAGTATCTTCCGCTCTGGTTAATGTGGAGAAAGGTCGGCTACATTGTGGAAAGTATCGGAGACTAATTCCATCTGTATCAGGAATTGACCCGTTTGAACGACTACTTTGGTGCCATCTATCTTCGGTTGTGCGATCCTTTTTTCCTTCAGCCGATGTCATATTGATGCCAGTGATATGGTTGAGGAAAATTACATAAACGTTCAACGATTGTGCTTCAAATGCAGATGGTATCGTGATTAAAAGGCTCCTTAACTGAGCGCCAAAAAGGTGCTGGGTGTTTACTGGATGTCCAAAGACTTTTTTGATAACATGTTGAACCTCCTCGAAAGCGTTTATGTGCTACTTGCGCAGTGATCTATCTAATGAAATCTACTGCGGTCCGTGGTGGTGGTGATCGAAGTCTGTGGTTCGTGGCATGCGCGCGCATACATGACAGACGCGTGCGCTTAGCGCGTTCGCATGTGTTCTCCCCATAGAGTCCTCTGCCTGCCTCTGGGTGAGCGTCTCCCTCTATCTGGTTTGCATTTTCTTTCCGGCCGTTGCGACTATTGGATCTATTCTGAAGAACGTAATAGCCCCGGGGATGGGGGAAGAGTTCGGATGACGTAGGAGGAAGAAAATAAAATAATGGAGGGAGAAAAACCGATTCCGGGGTCTCCTGATTGCCGGTCGCGTGCGCTACCACTACACCACCGAAACCATGGCTTTCACTTGCCATGCTCCATGCCATCCCTAACATAACAAAGGGCGAGAGAGGCATTCTACGTTCACATCCCGCTCTCTACTTTGAGGGGTCCGATATGGACTTTTCCGCAGGGACGTGTAAAAACGTCCCCGCGTATTTCACTTGGAGTTCTCTTTCATCTCTGGAGGAAGGATCACTTCCGCCCCAGTATGATATCACCGCTCGTATAGTTATTGGGACTCCGACCCCTTTTATCAATCAAAACCTCATCATCTTATTCCTCACAAGAAGAGTGACTCCCGAGGGTGAAAATGGCAGGATCCCACCCGTATGGCACAGGACCGCTTACTCTTGGATCGGAAAGATGACGTTGGCGGCGTCGTAACAATCCCGTTTCTCCATCTCCGATTTCTCGAGTGGGTCTGTAGTTCCAGGCCAGCCTTTGCCGTGATTGCTAGGCCTACGAAGGTGATAACGTTACGCCGCAATTCCATCATCACTGTCGGCCTATTTTACTCGCACGGCCTAGCTAGCGGCCAGAATCGCACACGCTATTTAACCAAGGTCCTCCGGTTTAAAAAAAAAAATTGTGGAGAGACTCGATTCAAATTGAACAGCTAAAATTTTAACGAGAAAACCAAATATGGAATATGAACTTGTGTGAAAACTATGTTTAAAAGGCTTTGATGTTTCTTCTGCCTCTCTCACCCCCTTCCCTCATATCTCCCCTTCTTGGAAGTTCTATTAGGGATTTCGAAACATCTCACTGACTAAAGTCTGGTCCTTTATGGGCCAATTCTGATTTTCACGAAGCATTTCAGGGAATATGTGAACCGTTAGACCGATCATGGTCCTTATTCGTGTTTCATAAACCAATATTAAGCGAAAATGTATTGCGTAAGGACTATCTGGAGTTCCTCAGATCATCTTGGCAAGGTGTATGGAGAGAATGCCTTTGAAATCCAAATGCTGTTGGACGCCATAATCAGCAGGAATGTCCATGCGCGGTGCGTCCATGTCCCATCACATCGATCTGCCTACGCCAACCAATGTTTCAGTCTCGCCTTATCTCATGAACTCACCACGAAAGTGTGTCATACGTTAAAAAAACAGAAGACCGGGACACTGTTGTGAAAGCAGAAGCAGTCATATATTGACAATGACACCGACGTGAATTACAGGATCCATTGGGGATGGGACGCACGTTAAGCCTAATTGAACGACAGCTACTTCCATTTTTCATAACAAATCCGGTGCAACGCAAGGAAAAGAGAGGACCTTGTGGTGATCTGGAAGTCAATATCTTTCTTTCGTGGGGCTTTATTATTTCGAAAACTCCCAAGAGTGGCCACCTTGGTGAGGGAAAAAAAATACTGGAATGCAACTGACACTTTCAAGAATGGAAATGGAATGTTCTTCAGGGAGATGGCACCTCAACTATTATTGAGCGGTTCTGTGTTGAGAGGGTGCGAAAAGTGTCAAATGACAATGAAAAGCCTTGGACCACTTATTGTGGAGTGACCCAAGAGTCAAGAAATGTTAATTATGACTCTTTTCCTTCGTTTCTTCCGAAGTATCCTTCGCACCACACTAGTATTATACCAAACTGCTCAGGAAGAGCTGACGAATCCATAGATACCATATGCGGCACCAAATAAAAATGTAAGCGACTTTTGATTTGCCTTATATATTAAATGCTTGGGCGTCTGTATGTCCGCAGAGACATATGCGCATGCGCCGAGTCTTCTGCCTGGCTTCGGGTGTCTGTCTTTAGCTCCCACTTTTTTTCTGGCTATTGTGGCTTGGATCCATTCTCGAGAAAGGGAAAGAGAGGAATTGTACATATTGTGCATCCCCCTCCCAGCCACTTAGGGGGTGCTCACATCTTGAGGAAATTCCCGCGCGGAAGTGTAACACATCTCCACTTATAACACTTGGAGTCCCCATTATCCCGCTGGAGTAAGGATGATCTCCTTGCCGGGATAAGATCTCGGCTCCTTTATCGATCGGAATCCCGTCTTCGTATTGATTGGCACTCAAGGAAAATAACTTCCAAGGTTGAGAGCGGCGGAATTCTATTTGGATTGGATAGAACATAGTTCTTATCCTTGGATGGGGAAGACGCCGCCGGCGGCGCAGAAAATATCCTGTTTCTCAAGAGTATTTCTCACTCAGGCCAAACAAGAGTGGTGGAGATGAACTTCACGGACGATACGCACAGGATCGCGATCCATACGGGATGAGAGTACTGCTCAAGAAAAGTTCGTATCGTAAGCGTGAACATCCCCGTGGGGAGGGGAGGGAAGGGGGGGATGCGCAAGACTTACAATGTCTGAGCGGCTGCTGCGTAAAGCGTTGGTAGGGCTGCTGACTGAACTCGTTAACACCAGAAAATGCAACACGCTTAGCATCGGCCGACACGGAGTTCGTGGATGTCTTCCAAGGGTCGGGGTCTCCGTCTCGAGCTCGCAATTTCTTTCGAGCCTTCGCGACCGTCGAGAATCGAGAGAGCGGCTCCTGCGTAGTGTTCAACTAACTGAACTCGTGTATTCCCGACAATGTTACACGGTGTGCCAAGGCCAGAGATGTCAAACGTGATTAAGCTGGGGGACGGATGAAACCCTTAAGGGAGTGGTTGGGTCCAGATTAGCAGATCTCAAACTAAAGTTTCAATTGCTAACAAATTGAAAAAGTCTACGCTTCTCCACGACCGACTGTTGAAGTGGACCTGCGGCCCGGACGCAATCAACTANAAGTCTACGCTTCTCCACGACCGACTGTTGAAGTGGACCTGCGGCCCGGACGCAATCAACTAGCTGGCGG